AAAAAATATTTACAAAAGTGTAATTTTACTTTTTTATTAGATGAACTGATAACAAATGCATCTAAAATTCTAAATATCATTGCAAGTTTTTATCAAAGTATTTGGAAAATGTGAAAACCAGTGTACAGATGATGGTGTATATAAATTGTGCCTTTCAATAGTTAACACGGTAATAAAAGTGCATTAAAAGGTAACACGATAAGAAATTGCTTGCGAATCAATTAATATATCAATGATGAATATTTATTTTGCAAAGTCATTACATGGTTACAATTCAACACATATCAAATTCCCGAAGTACACATATAATAAGTTGGCATACTTTCCGTAAATTGAAATTATTTATTCACTTTACAAAGAATGAATTATACATATATGTATCACATAATATGAATTAGATAAAAGTGACATTATGTTCATTTTTTTACGCTGTCAAGTTGAATTTTATTAGTAAATACTGGAAATATATTTTAAAAATGCAATTATTATGGTTATTGACAAATAATTGTTAATTTAAATCATTTATGATAAGATAATTATAATTAAAGCACAGAAGGCGCTGAATTTGTTTGAGTCTCAGAATGTAAGAAAGTGCCACCAATGCTTTCCAGCGTTTTAATTGTAGTAAATTGGTAATAAGACTAATTGCAACACTGATATTCAATCCAATGTTTATTTTACTTAAACAATTTTAAAAAGAATGGGATGCCTTTACTGGGATTTGAACTCCAGACCTCTCGCTTCTTAAGCGAGCACGAAAACCCTTCAGTCACGGTGAATTTTTATTTGAACTGCCTGAACTTGAAGAAAAATTAGGGCTTGTAACGACTTTAACTGTTGTTTAACACAGATGTAAATAATCCTGGAGCTTACTTTAAGCATTTATATTTATAAAGAATCAAAGGGCTGCAAATTTTGTGGTATTTTCTGATCTTTATGTTTATGTATTATATTTCATTTTGCAAGGCACCAGAGTTTGATACATACGAAATTCTGCATAACTAGAGTTGCATCAAAAATCATTTATGTTCATTTTTTACGACAGCCACACTTTATCATTGCATATCATGGCTACTTCCTTAACAAAGACACTTAAAAAAGAATTAAAAAAAAAGTTTCCTCGACTGGGATTTGAACGCCAGACCTCTCACTTACTAAGCGAGCGCGTTACCCCTGCACCACGGAGAAGTTTTACAAATAGTGTCTGAATAACATCAAGTCATTCTAAATTTAGAACTTCCATTGCATTTCGGGTTTGTAATCCTTATTAATTTCGAGGTATTTTGTTCAGGATAAACCTGTTGTTTAAAATTGAAGTAAATAATTTAGCGAAAATCTTCTCGCCCAAACAGTCAGACATGTAGAATCTATATATTCCACTACTCGGTTTGTGTAGTATTCGGTAATCGACATCGCTAAAAATAGTATTTTCATTGATAAAATCATATTCATCCGCGTAATTTGTGATTGTGCATTTATTGACAGTTCTATAAGCCAACGCTATTTTTAAACTTTGAATGAGTTGTAATTTGTTGGATACTTGTAACAAAATAAAAATATTTCTTTCTTTTAAATCGCTAGTTTAAAGCTGTTCTGAGAACTACTTGTTGTTAGGTTTGTCGTAAACTTCTGTGTCAGAGATTGAATGTCCGCTTTGTATTTACTTATTTTCGATCAGAAAATTCAATAAAACAATATTAGAAATCTTCGACCATTCGGGAATTATTTTGCTTGGTCTTTGGCCATCTTTCCCTGAATTTTTCGGCATTAGTGTACATATAAAGGGAAGTAACCGCTTCAAAAAATAGTGGACTACCTTCTGCATTTGCAATTAACAGCATTAGACTCTGAAATTTCGCTACCATTAAAAAAGACTGTCCCATTCTTGCATGACCGATACATTCTGAAATTTCCGTTGCTCACGTGGATTTATAATTATTAATTATTGTGAAATATGAAATTGAACACAATTTTGGCAAAATGTCAAATTATTTCTTTTTTACTTGTTAAATGACCTTATATTCTTGGTTGGGCATAATGTCACTTAATATATGCATTATTAACAAGCGAGGTTTTATGCACGCGCAATGAGGTTGCGAAGGAATGGTCAGCTGTGTATTGCATACATTTAGAAGCGCCAAATGAAATGCTACCTGTTTAGATCTGAGCAGTTGATGAAATTAAAGGGGGAAGCGTAACGACACAAAAATTCCTTTGCGTCCGTACTAGTAGTACTCGTTTAATACTGTGAAAAGAAAAACGAACTTGTTTCCAAGTTTCTAAAAGTCAACAATATTTTGAATAATAATGTAAGTTTCTGAGTTCTTTTTACGCCTGAAATGAGATGTTACATTGTTAAGATGCATTTAAAACTCTTTGATTCATTTATAAAGGATTTATAATATATATTTTATAGTCACAATATCATTTACAACGTCTTTAGGTATCATATTTTATTTTGTTGAAGTTATATGCTTGGATTTCGAATTTATACTTCTGTAACATGTTAAAAGTTGGCTAATTCATTTTTTTGTAACTTAACTACAGCCGATTTAATATTAAAGTCATTGGCTTACATGTATTTGAAATACTACTAAAAATAATCCTGTGCGCAACCCAGCGTAAATTCCATTAACATTATATTGAAACGCTTATGTTGTATTTTAAAAATTCTGAAGGTGTTACTGTTTAATGTGATATTTTCTAAAACAGTGTAATGGAGATTGAAGGATTTATTGACATACATAGTGATGAGAATAGTACAGTCAGAATACCCGTTTTTCTAGACCACTTAGAGGAATTGACTGACAAAAACTTTCCGTAAGTCGATTTTCTATTTGTGACAAAATTGTTTAAAAATTACGGCGATGTTTCCTGTGATGCATTAGAAGAGTCGTTTAAAATCTCAACATCAGATCAGCTATCAAAGCGTGAACAAATGTTCGCTTATTTACGAGTCATTATGCGAGCGGTTACAAATGATAGGGTGTATACTGTTTTTTGTATTGCCGGTTGTGACGATATATTTCCTCTGTTCATATTTCGTAAATACAGAGATGGTGTAACGTGCGTAGGAAAAGTTTTTGTGCCTTGTAATAAATATTCAAGTAAAATATATCGATTTATCAAAACATGTGTGGACAACAATTGTTTCAATATGGATAAAAAACAAAAACTGTCTAATTTAAGACGTCGGGCAATTGAAAAGGTCAGTGCCGGAGCATCACCAGATGAATGTCAGAAACATTTAGAAGAAAAAGTATTAATTGATTTGCATTATGTTCAGCTACATGGAGTCAATGATTTACAGAAGCGATTTGATATTCTTCATGACATGAATGAAACTCGTACTCATAACCTTGACAGAACATCTTTAGACTTGACATACCATTCCAAAATTGCAGTAACTTACGCTAAAATAGGACAGCAGACAGAGGCAGAACAACACATCCAGCAAACACTTGTCATGTGTGATAGATGCTTGCCATGCTTTGCTACAATAATGGCGTTGAATGATGTATTATATGCATATCAAGAGTTATGTTTTGTGAACCGGTCACAAGATCTCCTGAATAAAGCTAAAGATCATGGACAGTTAATGTATCATGTTATAACATGTGAAGACGAAGAGGCCGTAAATCAGTGGAAGAGGATAATTCTGCTATTTTTGGCAATGACATGTTTAAAGATTTCCCATGAATTTGAGGTTAGTGATGTGAGTGAGGTATCTATCGAAGACGAACGCCAAGCAAATGTTTTTATTTCAGAAGTAAAGAAAGTGTCTACAGGTATAGAAACAAGGCGGGAGATGGTTTTAAACCTGTGCAAAGGTCGAATTCATGAACGTGGTGATAAGCGTTTTGCATTGAGTTATATCAAAAAGGCTTACAATCTTGTGGACGATGGATGTTTACAAGAAATTGAAAAAATCAACATAGATAAATACCTAAATAAACTACAAGCATCCTAACTTGCTAGTCAACCAAAAGCAATCATCATGACACATTGTATGCCATATGTGGAAGGATTTCATATGATTACCATTAATAGTATGTGTTGTCGAGTGTAATCAGGTGTATAATATCTCTTAAATCCACATAATAATTATATGCTGTAGATTTAAAAAAAAATATAACTAGCAATTCGATATGGATAGGTAGTTATGATCCCAATTATCACGGAAAGGTCTTATCATTTGCAGCATTTCAATTTAAATCATGCAAATCAAGAAAGTAAATTATTATGTATGAAATCATATTATAATATGTATAAACATTTCAAGCAGTATGTGATTGATTTATATACATATCTTCATGTTTCTGAATATTTAGAATTTTCAAACAAATGAACTTAAAGTGTTCACGTTTATTCATGACATGACTGAAATCAAAGCGAACTTATGCTGAAGCTAGTCGTCGAACACTGGAACACCTAGGTGACCCCTCATTATCGACTCAAACTGATAAAATATGCAATGGCAGTAGTTTTATCAAGTGAATTTCATGTAAAATCAGATCATGCGATATTAACATATCACGTAACAGTCACATTTATTGGATATCTGGATATGCGGTCTTTTTTTAGCCGATGGTCAATAAGGACAATGTCTAAATCATATTTTAATAACCATAATTATATAATAATTACATTGATAAATTTTCATAATATTATTTTCATAATATATATTCATAACCATTTAAATAAAAAAAAGATTGCTAAAATCTTACGCCAGTTGGCTTTTATTTTTCTTATTCACACCGTTTACCACGGACAAAAGACAAACTTTTACACCAATTAACATGATAAAATGATGGCGTGTGTGAGTGATGGGAAGGCGCTAATCTCTACTTGCTTGTCCACAGATAATGCAACAAGCGCTTTACCATTACTTAAGTTTCATGTTACTGTGTTAGTGACAGGATTAATGTACTTTTACAAGTCGTACCTCAGACTTGTAATGTAAAAAGTTGCAAAAATCTATTGACATTAACAATAACACATTTGTTTTAATAAAACAATTCTATTCAATCCATATAAAGTAGCATTTACAAAAAGTAGCATTTTCATACTAGCAAGTAGATTAAACTTTTTGACTAAAGCTTAATCGAAACATATCTTAATTAAAACAATATTTTGGCTTCACCGGATCGTATCGACTGCAACCTTATTTTGACACGTCATAACTGAGGAATAGGTTTATTTTTTCGTCATCGTGAGGTATAATGTAAAAATCAATTGGATGCTGAAAGACAAGTACCTTTCATATAGATTCATAGCGTTTATTAATAAATATGCAGTGTTTTCATATACTTTAAAATGAGTTTTGTCTTATACGGGATGTCGAATTGTACGGACGGACATTTTTTCTCTAATTGAAAACAGAGGGAATATACACATATAAATGCGTAAAGAATACTATTCGTTGCTGGTTGAGTGGGTCAATTGTACTGCTTTGAATTGCATGCTTATTATGCTATAAGAACTGTTTTGTTCAATGTATATATTTTGTGTTTGATTTTAAGTCACGCTGACCCAGCTTATATGGCAACTTTCCAGCGTTACTTGTGGAAAAATATATCCGGTACCCCTTCGTGCATTATTTCAAAAACCAGAGACACCGTAAAAATCTACCTTCTATTAGCTTAATGGAAAACTTACTGACATGAAAGAATCAAAGATTCCTTATTAAATGGGAATAATCGTTACATTAAGATCAAGGTAACACACTTTTAACACTCCACAGCTAAGGAAAAAAGATTTTCGTTGATTCAACTACTAAGATGTACTCTTTCTAATCGTTCTATTGAAATACTTCAAAATAAAATAAAATAAAAAGCAGATGTAAAATCCGATACCCTGCATTACCGTCAACATGAAAAGATACAAAGGTAAAAATATGTATCAAAATAATCAATCATTAAAATCTTATCAGTATTTTCTTCATACATACTTATTTTTGCCCTTCTTTTCAAAAAAAATACCGTCCTTTTTATCTAAACTGTTTTATTTTCTTTCAATACTGTAATCATTTTCATTTGGCTGCCCATGCTTCACTCGAACACGTCAATATAATGCTATATATCTGTAGAATCTGCTGACGTCCGAAAGAGAAACTCACTTCGACCGTTTTCATCCCTGCCGTCTAATAGAACTGAAAATGATTCTGATCTCTTAATAAAATCTTTTGCTGCATTAAATTTATGTACAGGAACTACAGCACATTCAAACAATCCTATCCTGATACTTTTTCTGGCTGTACTCAAAGACTCAATCAAGTTTTTGAATGTTTCGCATGTCATTTTCACTTTAATCATAAAAACGTTTTCAATAGATGAGCTAGCACTTATCGCAAGATTTCTTTCACCAAGATCCATCTCCATCAGCCACATCTGCTGTACACTTCTTAATAAAGGAAAATATTCGTTCAAATATCCAATATCTGAATCTCCATGAACCCGCTACAGAATACCCTCAGTTTTGGTGCCTCAGAAATGCTTTTCAGGACGGAAGAATATGCTGTCTCATGTTTTAAAGGACCTATGTAACATACCTCTAGACAATCAGTGTTTAAGTCAATCTTTGAGAACGGCGCATCACCGATTTCTATCATTTTCAGCTCAGCATGCTTTTGAAGATCAACTTCAATACCGGGGCACGACTCTGAATGCTCAGAGCACTTTATAAAGCTTAGTCCAATATGCTTCATGTTCTTCTGTTTCGAAATATATGTGACAAGCCTTTCTATCTGATGATGCGTCATTTCAATATTTCTGAGATACAGTTCTTCCAATTGCTTGGTATTTGTTATTGATACCAAACTGTTTTCCGATAAAGCTTTGTAACTATGCTGCCACTCGTTATTCTCCCACTTACCACCTTTAAAGATAAAACACTTCAGGCAGTTAGCGCTGCATGCAAGAAGGTTTTCAAGATCCACTTCATCAACTTCACACTTAATATCTATTTTTTCTAATGAGTTTATTTTGTGTCGCTCCAGAGTATCCATTATCTCGTGAAACCCTTTTTTCGTTTTTACATCTCTCACTTTAATTGATTTGATCTGTGTTTTGTTCATTTCAAGAAGTGCCTCAAGAAAGCAAGAATACTTCTTATCTTCGAAATCTATGTCTATAAAGTAATCTTCTAAATACAGTTTGATTGAATGCTTTCCGTCTGTGAAATTTTCTCGAAATTCTTCAATACATGCAACATGCATGCTTTGATATGCTTTCATAGCTTTATTGTACCCTACAAAGTAGTTCCATGAACCCATATCGCTTCTGTATCCACGAGCAATATCTGATAACGAAGCCATTTCAGATAATGTTTTTGACAAAACACTAGCTTTTTTTGGACAAAGTCCGCTTAGAAAAATCAAAATATTAGAAATAGGAAGTATACTTTCAACAGAGTTACATACTAAGGAAATTGTTCTTACTACTCTTGAAAATGCATTAACTGATTGCATGTAGAGTACAGCGAAGAATTCCTGCAACGTTTGTTCCCGAAACGAAAGCTTTGACCTTTTGGATATGTTCGAATTTAGATGTTTACTTTGTGTCAAAAATCCAACATCAAAACAAAACTTAAGTTCATGGTCCGTCAAAATCTTTGAAGCGGCACCTTTTTCAAAGGCGAAGGACTTTTCCCTATTATATGCAAAGTATGTCTCGAATGCCAGGCGTCCTACTTTTAACAAGAATTCGTAGTGTTTCTTACAAAATTCATTTGCTGCGATTTGGTTTGGTATATGTAATTTTATCTTTTTGTGACATGAACGTTCACTGGAACTGATACTGTATTGTCTCTGCTCAGCTTCGTTAAGAAGTAGACCTATAAGATTACAGTAAATTTCATATTTCGAGCGTCCAAGGGATTGTCCATAGACATGCCACAAACAAACTAAATATGTCAATATAAGGGGCACTGACGTAAACGAACGAATGCTTTTACTTCCTATTTCATTGCTGAATTTAACGGCATCTGTTTGTATTTTTGATGCATTGCTTTTACCTGTTTCATCTTCATTTAATTTTGATAATGTATTAAGTGTTAGCTTATTTGCTATATCTGTATCTAACTTTTGAATTTCAATTACTTGATCAACTTGGCTTGATTTTAAACTGAGATCATTGAACTTCCAGGGCCTGCTTGTAGTAAGGATTGTGGAATATTCCCAAGATTTCCTGTGAGGTATGTCTGAACTCTCAGCCTTACATGCAGTATCTCCTGTAGAATGATACCATTCATCCAACCCGTCTAAGACTATTAGGCACGATTCTCGGCTGAGTATTTCTTCAAGAACATCCACAGTGTATCTATTTGAATGATCAAGATGCTGAATGATCTGGTTTTGTATCATCTCTTCTATTTTACATGAAGAAGAGACGGTGTCTCTCAGTAAAACGAGGAATAAAAAGTCATACCTTTGCATGACCTGTAAGTCTTCCTCTGAAAAATGGCGTGTTTTATTTTTTTGGTTTGCATGGCACCACGTTACTGATAACCGCTTGCAAAAAGCAGTTTTTCCAATGCCCGATTCTGAGGTAACATAAATTTCTTGACATGGTTTGTCAAGCTTAAAGAATATTTCTCGCAATGACGTTACACATTTACGCTTTTCGTTCGGACGACCCCGAAACAAAACTTGTTGGTTGTCAACTATTTCCATCTGTGGAAACACATAAAAGTCAACTAGACGTGTATCTGATTCTCCAAAGAGTGGTGATAGTAAGATGCTACTGTGCCTTTGATTATTAAACTTGATCAGATCCGATTTCAGTCCTGAAATAAATGCATGATAACACAATAATATTTTGAACATAAAAATGTATTCAGTTAAGTCATAAACTTTTGTAATTTTTAGAGGTGTGAACCAAAATGGCATTCATTGTATTAAGGCATATTTTGCTATAAGTGTTTATCTGGACACAGGATAAGTAACCGTCTTATTAATAAGATAAATTAAAAGTAAATAAAATACATAAATTACTTTGAAAAAAAAAGATATGTAACCATATCACAACATGATTGTTTTTTGTATAGAAACTTTAGAAAAAATATTTTTTTTACTTTGTTTGGTATCTTGATATTCTTGTTCTGTCATCGGCTTAGGAGTACTTGCTGAAGTTGTAGGAATAGTTTGTTTCACATCTGTGATACATTGTACAGCTAGTAGAATATCTTTCAGAAGAGTAAATATTGTTTCAAGTGTCTGGAGCTCTTGTGTGCGTTCCTTATCCAAAATCTCGATCGCCTGGCTTAATAATTTGTTCATATTTTGACAGAGATTTGAATTTTTCTCAATAACTTCTTGAAGAATTGATGAAATTTCATTCGATGAAATGGTTACCTGAGCCGATCTTATCTGAAAATAAGAGAGAAACGTGTTGTTTCTTCAATCACAGTTAAATGTATTTTACACAAGTGATAGTTTGGATATTCAACTATGTTTCAAATAAGATTTAAAAAGTGTACCTGTTCTATATTTCTTAAAGCTTCCTTTGCTTTTCCGTCTCTTCTTAGATGTTCAGAACTAGACAGAAAATCAGTCATTTTTCGGATTGTGTCATTTAGTTCTTCTTCTGTCAAAAGAGTATCTGCTGTATGCCTTATACCATTCACCATCGTCCGTATCTGTAGCAATTCATAAAAATTAAATGGACATTTATATGGTAATCGTTCGTTTGTCTACTAAATTATCAATAAATACTAAATTTGTTTTCCTAAAGTAACTAGAAATATGTCCATCGAACACTCAACCTCACTTCATTTGCTGTCATAGTAGCATATACTACTACGTCGCTGAGCAAACTCTTGTCCTTCATAAAAAAGATATGTCATGGATTGCTTAAACAGTGACCTTATGAACTCAAAACCTATCTCTTATAGGCAATGTTTCTACAAAGTTTTATAAACTGAGGCTCGTTACTTCCTTATTTATTGATCAGACGGGGTATTACACAAAGTACCATTTTTACCTTTACCATAATCCAATTACCTCAAAATCATAAGAAAGCATCTTCTGGCAATGTGGAATGTCCCTTCTATGTTTAAACAATCTTAGCTTTATTTCTCCTAAAGTGATTGATATACATGGACTAAGCACATGGTGTCACCGTAGTGTTAACATAATGGCGTCAAATTTAAAGAGGAAATCTACTGGTCATGACCAGTCTCAACGCTAACTTAGGCAAGTAGGCCAAGGGGTTCTCTAATTATAACTCGGACACACACTCAATGGCCAATGCCACATTAACACTGCAAAATAAATTGCAAATTGGTTATTTCACTTGCATTCCTTTTTACATGGAAAAATAAGAAGGGTACAGTGTTTTATTATCGCCCGTCTGATCGTTTTTTTCTTAAACTCTCAATATTCAAAATATAAATGCTATAATCTATGAAAAGGACAAGGAAGATATTCAACTATATTGTTATAACACATAATTATTTCAGGTCAGACCGCTTTATTTTAAAAAAAGAACACAGATCTGGTGATACCAATTTTATGCTAAGTTTTGTTGTTGTGTTCAAATGAATAAGAAATAAAGTGTTTTCATGGAGACAAAAATTGTTGTCTGATGGACTTACATCAAGCTGCCACAGAAGTTTATCTGGTAAGTCGAAATAAAATAAAAAGAGTTTAAACTAACTTACATGTTCACATTCGTCTGAATCAAACATATCTCTGAAGATTTTGTGGCTGATAATCACACTTAAAATCCCGTTCAAATCTGTTACTTCTGCTGAATCAGCGTGGCTGTAGGCTTTAGGTGGCATAAAACACTTTGCAATCTCCCATGGCGAGTTATACCACCTGTTTGCCCGTGTATTACTCCACGATGGCATTCTATTGACATGACTTTTAACGATAACATCCTTCACTTTCGTGCAACAAGAACACGGCTTGAACTTCTTCTCTTCGGAATTGTGAAACCTACACTGTCCTTTATTTATAACACATATGCTTTTTGTTTTGCAAAGCAAAACGTTTTCCGTCGTACACTCCGAACATGGTTGTCCCTTTCCTTCAGGGTATAGTGTTTCACCATGCCACATACATATGCGCGCGTCAACACATTTAGTTATGCCTTCTTTAACAAAACTTAATACCAAAGATGCTTTTATCCAATTTTGGAAATTTCTATCCGCATCTTTTTGTCGGTGGTACTTAGTTATTGTTTTATTGGTCGTTGCCATTGTACTCCAAATATTTACTTCTTTTTTCTAAATGTGAATCTACCTTAGATCATCTGTTTTTTTAATGTCACGATATTGTTCACAAAGACAATGAATAACTTCTTAATAGGTTCAAATATCGAACATTCCCATATTACCAATGTAATGTATCGTGTCTGTAAATGGGTCAGTGATCGATTATGTATAAGGAATGGAATTGGTTGATTTAAACAAACGCAAGCGTTATCTGTCAGTTATCTCTGTACAAGGTCATCTGAAATATTGTAAATGCATGTAATCTGATAAAAACTTAACTGAACAAATGATTATAACATGCGCAAATAAGTGTATTGTGTACTATCAAAAACGATCTTCATGTGTATCTCTCTGCTTGTTAAGTATTTTCACATCCTAAAGATGCATATGAATTTATAATCATGCATTTCAAAATATCAAATATTGTAAAATTATTATTGTACATGACAAAAAGATAAAAATAAACAAATATGAAAAGTTTAAAGAAATATATATGTAATAGCTATGATCACTTTTAATCTGATTTCAAAATACCCCAAATATTTAAATGTTATTCTACCTCAGCTCATAAAAAAATTCTAACTTAATTATTATTTGTAAGTTTTAAGCACTGTGGTACTTTCTAAGGAAAATTAATATTTGTATTAAGTAACATACAAGTATTTTGTATATCGATTACTTTCGAGGTAGCCACGAAACATCCGTGAGAAAATGTTATCAAAGGGATGATAACAGTGGTCAAACATGAATAGATGAACGTATGTTTTACTTTATTAACTGTTATCCCCGAAGCTTACTTAATAGATAACCATACAAATAGTTATGGATTCAATTTTAATGCAAACACTTGTATGTGTAACTCAAATGAGCCGTGTCACGACAAAACCAACATAATGGGTTTGCGACCAGCATGGATCCAGACCAGCATCCGCGCAGTCTGATCAGGATCCATGCTGTTCGCTTACAAACCCTATAACAAGTAGAGAAACTGATAGCGAACAGCATGGATCCTGGTCTGGATCAGTGCTGGTCGCAAACCCATTATGTTGGTTTTGTCGTGACGCGGCTCAACTATTTCACAATTTTTTCCCAATAATCTGTTTGACTGAACTATTTTTGCATGGTTCTTATTTTATATTAGCAACGGCTCTGAAAGATCTGCAAGTTTAAAGACACACTATGCCTCAGAAACAAATAAATTTTTACTTCTTTAGAAGGGGAAAACATTACTTTTTATAGTGTCTAAATAATGGTTTTAGAGAAATCTTAGAGTGTTAAAATTATTTGTCATTAAAAGTAGGAAAATGTAAACAAAATTTTGACTTCCATACAAACTACTAACTATAACTGTGCTTTTGCGATGAAAAAGATAGTAATTGGCCAAAGAGTAACTTTTTGGATACTATAAACGTACACCAAAATCATAGATTTTGAGTAAAAAAAAAGTATTTCTGAGGCATAATGGGCCTTTAAGCAATATTGGTTTAATATGTAAACCGTATATTAGTATATGCAGCATTTAAAGCCATAAAATATTCTATATAAGTTCCTCGTTTTCTTTCTAAAGATTATAACCGCATATAAAAAAGTGATCATCTTGTTTGTAGCAAAATAATCTAACGAAACATGATAAACAATTAATCACCTTAACCTTCAGTTTATTTGTTAGTCATCAGCTAACAACAGAAAAGTCAAACCTGGGTATTTCCTCGGACACGCGACACAAAGAATAATTCATTTTGTTTCCAATAAGCAGACGATTCCATGTTGCATGTTCATGAAACTCGTTTACACACATTTTCAAAAAGTTTAACACACACTAACGGTGGTTATCCATATTTCAGGTTTATTTACATATTTAATTCAAAAAAGAATGTTAAAACATAAACACAACACTTGCAAAGTAAGCACAATTGTATGACATTTCTATCGGAAAAAACTACCGGTATGTAAACACACATTTTGCAATACAATATCTTCAAACATAACTGTTATTATATATACTCACTTGTAAGTTAAACTCATCTGCCATATGCAATTTATAGTCTGCTTTCGGTTTAGCAATGAGAAGTCGCCTGATTAGATATCCGGATCACTTAACAAATAACAACATTTATATAACCTTCATGAGTCTGTTACGTACGACGCGATAATCATAAAAATAGAAAATGGTTTACCATGAAAAGCCGACACCGAGATTTGTATTTCCAATATCCTGATTTGTTTAAAAACAACAACTTAATAACTATGCTTAGTTTATCAATACTGAGCACTGTGGCAAAATGTTTCACACTTAAAATATGGTATCCTTTGAACATGTTCTTAATATCTGCAGACGACTTTGATAGATATTAAAGGGTTTTAGCATGTTCTATATTCATTCGTCTAAGCCTCCTTAATATCATGGTATTAAATAACATAAATGATCTGCAGATCAATGCTCTGTTATTGGTATTCTATTAATCGTGTTTTCAATTTTAATTTGACAAGAAATAGTCCGGAATGTTCTTAGTCAATTACAAAATTGACTTTAAACGATCTTTTAATATCTCATTGTAGGAGTTCACTTCATTATAAGATAGGGGCAACTGACAAAGCAATACCTACAAGATAAAAGAAACGATAAAAAGAGCGGAAAGTAATTGACACAAAATTAAATGATATATAGATATATGTGCTGGCTGGAATATAAAATATAAAATCAGCTCATTAAAGGTAAATAGATTAAAATAAAAATGAACCTATTTCACTTATGTAATACACTGTTCAATCTTTCTATAAGACAATAGAAATGAATTTGAAATAAATAATATAGACGATAAAACATCGACTAACAATTCTTATAAGTAATCGTTTGTAAAGTCAAAACGACTCTGGCCTACTTTGTACGAATCGACGTGATGGGTAACATTTACAATACTTCATGGGTGATCCCCGCGAGTCTTAGCAAGCAATAATTACGCTTTCTGAAACTTCTTATTTCTTGGACTAAATTGCATAACTTAATCACAATCAAAACTTGTCAGTACTCGGAGTCGAAGGCTAAAGATCTCATCAAAGTTAAACAATAACTAAATGAATACGGCAAATGAAATAAAAAAAAATGATTATATTTTTTTTTCTCCAATGCGCCATTATATACATATATAAATAGATCGGAAAAGAAAGAATGAAATGTATCTTTATATATATTTGAGTAAATTTAAAAAAGTAAGTGAAGTTGTAATGTCAAAGTAGATGGGTTTCCGTAAAAATGTGCATGGGTTTCCAAAAACAAAAGGTTCTGTTGGTGTCCATTAACCTGGACATCACGGGTTCCCACATATCTACTTATATATACGTATTTAAGGGAGAAAAAGTATACACTCTTACAACATATATCAAACATCTGTTATGATGAATCGTTTATGTAAATTAGGTAAGTGAATTTTATTAAATATTCATTGAATTTGATGACTACTTTCAATTTTAACATCTTGGCTACTGGAAAAAATAATTATGCAATTCTTATTTTTTTCCCCGATCAAATTCTAATTCATGTCTATGAACATATAATTTCGACCAAAGTAAAATAAAAACACAAACAATAAGTTTTTTTGTGTGATTCAATTGCTTTTATTTCTTATGTATACTAGAAACATGATCTTTATACTTTTTGTTCATAACATTCAACATAGGTTTGTGGATCAGTAGTTCAAACTGATTTCAAATCAAATATAAATTGAAAAGATCACAAAACAAATTATACGCATGTTCACAGTTACACATTTAGATAACAAATTACGCACTGCATTGTCGAATAGATTAGATAAACCAGTTGTATTTTGTTTTTCAATCAATAAACAAATGTTATGAAAATCAAATAATGCTATATTTAAATTGAATCAATAAAAGCATATTTTCGTTATCATAAATAATAAATTCATTCTATAGAATATATTTAATACCAACAGGGTTAATTACGCTGTGTGTAGTTATTATCGTTGAACATGTTGTGTGCAGGTCAGTTGGAGTTAAGAAACAGGAATGCTACGGGGATATATGTAATAAGTAAGTTTTTTTTTAAAAATTTATCTACTTATTTTTTTTTTGGTTTATTTTGATTTTTGTATTTTCGACATATATTCGTATTGTTTGTTTTTATTCTTACTGTCAGTTTCTTTAATATATACCTGCTAACAATAAGACTATATTCGTTAACTTTGTAATGTTTGTCGACAATGCTGTATCATTATGTCTTTGTGTCACTGGTATCGCAAGTTTTAACATTTTGTTGGCTATTCTTTTTATCGCGCATTTCGGTCGTACTGGTCAAGACAATAATTCCTTTTTCTAATGCTTTCTGTGGGCAATATGCGTAATTCCGCCGGATAATAAGCATTGTAGACACATTTACCGTCATTCTGTCGTTGGTGACATTGTAGCTCCGTTGGCAATGGCACTAGAATTCGTCATTTGGTCGGTAATCCAATTCACAAATCCATTAATTTGATTTGCCTTTCTAGGAGCTACTTTTTCAGTATCAGAGAATTGCAGTTATCGATTTCAAATTGAAAATCATTTCTCTATTAAAATATAAAACATTAGACTAAAGTATTCTTTTTGACCTTATAACCTTTTGATTACAGATTATTTATGTATGTATCTTATAACCTGTCTCCACCTGATAAGAAATAAATACTTTTTCTGTTTAATTTTGTGACAGATGGTCAGATGATCAGTTCTGCTCAGACATATTTAAAATGTGCCGGAATTGTGCGGAAGTTGTGACGGATTGCGGCACAAAAAAACAACCTCAAGAATGCTTTCAATTCTGTGTTTGTAAGTCATATTTTTTCCCCTAATTTGACATAACAGTTAAAACACTTAAAACCCAAATAACATAATAAATTGTCCTATTAGTACAATCTAATTTCGCATCATTATCAAAATACGGTATATCGAAAGTTACCATTAGGTTTTCTAACAATATTTATATCTTTTTTTTTGAAATAAGTATTAAAATCATTTAAAACTTATTTTCTTAATTTCAGCACATTACGCAAAGTTGGAACAGGAAAGAGAAAAAAGTAAGTTCAACAAAAACACAGCACAAGAAGTTCTGAGATTTGAAAAAGACTTTATGATATTGAAGCAGGGTCCTCTGTCAATATTTAGCCTGTATGTTTGTATGTTTGTCTTTGTGGCAGACCTTTTGGTTTCAAAAAAGCACAATAAATATTTAGTGTTGGGGAATTCGTCTGTTTGATTATAAGACCTTTTTAAAATTGAATTGTATTTATTTAATTAATTTATTTTCAAACAAATAAAAATAATAATATTTCCTTAACTTGTTTCACATTTGTTTGTTTAAAAGTGAATCAAATATGAGTTATTCGTTTCAATACATTTGTTCAATATAGGAGTTCAGTAACTTTGATTTTTTGACATACTCTTGATATTTACACCTTAGTTCTTTAGTCACAATTGCGGATGAATACACCTGATTCCCTGATTCTAAAATGTTATCTTAATTTGAAGAAAAAAACAAACTATACAGGATTTGATTTATATCAAAATGGGGATACGTTTATTTTTAAGACAGCATTGTTTATATTGACATATTTGCTCATTTTTTTCCACCCAGGTTTTATATAGGTAGGTTCTATTTGTATGCATGTATGTAACGCGTACGCTGTTTTGTAATTTATCCTTTCAAGTTAACCCTTTTATATTTATAATTAATGTATCGTTAGTTAAAATTATCTACATGTAGTAAGATTTTTTGTATGCATTTACATGTATATGTAACACATATATAGACATCCGGGTAGCTGATTGTTGTCACCATCACCAAAGGCTTTATTTTAAAAGATTGAGAAAAATGTTTAAATAATAAGAAATCAATGTTTGATTAAATTCCTTTCCAAATAAAGAAAGTTGTCACATATGATATACATATGAAATTGATTTCACATTTGGTAATAGTTAAACATATTTTAACCGAATGATTGGATCATGTGTGCCATTTTATTTATTAATCAATAATTTATTAAAATATTTTTAATTTTTTTTTTCATTATTTTGCATTTTAAAGTTTTCAAGAACTCTTGGACCTGTTACCTCAGTAATTTACTAAATCATCTGTTGGGTTTCCAATCTTTTGATATTGTTCTTATTTTACTTACTAATAATCTTACGGTTATTATACCATTTGCATGACATGATTCTAAAAATAGCTTGTTCTGTTTTTCGGTGTTTAAATATCATTTAAATCTTTTTGTTTTCTAATATCTCACTAATCATGTTTTATACAGTTATCAGCTACTAACTTGTGATATATATAGTGTTTATATTTTGAAATGCTTGATTCAGCTAAATCTTCTTATTTTTGTATAAATTTCCTTATATTCCAAACGGTTTGCCATTGCTATAACTCTTATAATTTCAATTTAAATTAAATTAAAAAAAAACAAATTCGTGAAGATGTACGATGTTACTTACTATACTTTCATTTTTAACTTATTAAATCTTTCAACGAAAAGTTCAAAATTGTTTATTTAGAAATATCATTATTAATATGAATAAGACCAATTGTATTAGTTTTCTATCTGGTACACACGCACTAGAGCTCTTTTGACACGATCGTCTGTTTTATTTGAAGATTCAACATGTAGTTTACCAAGACTTGCCAATGGGATGGTGAATACTTCTAATATAAACACAAACGGCCGTGTAACTATCCATTCGGATGTAACATTTAGCTGCCATATGGGTTACACATTAGAAGGGGTCGTCTCAAAAAGGTGCCTTGGTAATGATAATTGGACAGATGTGGACACTCCTATCTGTATTGATAATTCATATATAGGTAAAGTAATTTTAAAATACTTACTTACCCATTAGCTACTAAAATTCTGAAATAGACTTGTCCATATTTGAATTTGAAACGGTCCATTTGATAATTAAGGGATTTTAATATCAAAATACAAACATAAGTGAAGTGAAAATAGAAGAAAACCTGTGGTTAGACTGCGCGGAGATTCGGACTAGCCTCGCAGAATACTGTGAGCTAAGGCTGGAAACATCGGACTCCAGCATGCTACAGGCTGACATAGGCTGACATCATAATACAATTGCTCGATATTTTTGAAATATTCGTTTCACCATTTTATTCGCTTAAAACGTTAGCAATGATTTAAAGGATAAAAAGCGTCCGCTGTTACTTTAGTAACTGTGTTTTTTGAAAACAACATTTATGGTATTTCAACTATGTTTATAACATTTAATAACGTTTGTTGAAAAAAAAAACTATTCATATGATATGTTCGATTTCCTTTTTAGCTTGGAAGGACTCTGGCATACCTTTAATTGTTTCATGTTCAGCACTCCTTATTTTGAATATCATCCTTTTGATAACATTGGGCAAACGAGAGAAACAATGTTTGAAGAAAATTTTAATGTCAAACTGTAAAAATGACGGAAGTGAATTTTATAAAACAGATCCTAATGAAGAACTCGCACTCTTAGACAGGAAATCAACGGATGAAAACAAAGAAGCTAATGCCATTTCTAATAAAGAAAACGAAGTTGAATGTGCCAAATCACCGATAAAAACTTCACCACCACCACCACCACCACCACAACAACAACAACAACTACCGTCATCATCATCATCAACAACAGTGACAACTACAGGAACATCATCATCAACTTCTGCCAGTATTGACAAAATACTGAAATAAATCCATGCGTTAATGGATGCCAGGCTGTGGGTAACAATGTAAATTTTACGCTGGTAAACGTGCTTACCGGTGCGGACCAAATCAACACAGACACTGGTCTGGATGATAAAGAAAATAAAAATGCTCAAAATTCTGATGGACAAGAATCAGTGAAAAGTCCAACAAAGGACACTACAGTTACGGAAGAATCGCAGGAAACTGTTGAAGCGTTTCAAGAAACTCAAGGGACGCGCTTGAGTAAAGCAGCAGAAACAGAAGAAAATGCCCCTTTAAATGATAATGACTATGCAAGGCAAGAGCCAAATTTAGTCGGTTATAATGACAGGGCATTTGTTGCAACTGGGTCACGTTGTAAGACACCCAATTGTCCTAACGGTTAGGTACTTCATTTATATCTAAGGGTAAAAGTATTATATGTTTATTTACTTACACATGTATCGGAGGGCATTTTAGAACTTACATAGCATACAAATAAGAGTTTGCAAAAAATGTCCCGTTAAATAAGAATAATGCTTATGATATACTTTTCTTTCGTTCTTTCTTCCTTTCTTTTTTCTTTCTTCCTTTATTTATTTCTTTGTTTGTTTGTTTCTTTATTTATTTATCTGTTTAAATTTATTTATTTGGTATTATGTTAATGTCTTATTCGTATAGTGCTTAAAGCCATGAATTCAAAAATCATAAATTGCGAAATTTGTTTTTAACCTTGTAGAATTCATTAGATATAAAGTTTTTTTTAATTTTTAAAATGTACTTAATGTTAAAACAGGATACTTGATTTCTGATAATGATGGGGAAAAACAACCCAAAACTGCGACATTTGATCGTATTATTTAAGATGTATGTTTGTTCAAAAGAGGGATGTTTAGAATTATTGAATTTTTATTTTAAATCTTACTAAAAGAATAAAGAAAGTTTGTTGAGCAGTGTCATGTTTTATAACCAAACATAAATCAGGGATCTTAAAATCCGTTGTCTTAACAATCATTTAAATGAAAATATGAAGTATGATTTGCTCATTGAGTTACTTTATATCAATACTTGTAAGATTATTCATTTCATACATCTATAATGTTTGTAAATAATGTTAATATTATGTTAACATCCGAAATAAATGTTTTCTTTAAATATTCGGTTGTTTTTGTCGACTTTGCTAATATTCTAGCATACACTGCATTATTCGAACTTTCAGTTGAAACCTTCCTGTAAACACTTAACTAGCTATGATAAGTTCCTAAGACATGATAACCAAGTCAATACAATAAGCTAATCGTTCTAAATTTAGTATCGATGTGCTTGTCATTGTATTCTACATGTTTTTTAATTTCAACTTGGGATCCCAAAAAAGAAGATGTAGTATTTCTATTTATAAATAAACAACCGGGATCCTATGATGGGAATCCTAATATACCGCAATTTATTTATACATAATTGGGATCCTCATGAGACTGTTTCTTTATTTAGAACAATCGGGAAACCACTGTTCAAATTTATTCAAATGTAAAATATAAGCAAGAATCTAGGTTGAAAATGTTAGATTGTTAATGAAAGAAAGCTATCATTTGATACTGTCAGAATTACAGATCTAACGATTTGATATTTTTAAGCCATACGGCAATCTTGACGCAATTAAAAAAGCACGAGAACACACTTTCTAATTCACGTCTTCACATGTTCAAATCCTTTAAAATTTTGCTTTAAAGGTATAAATCCTTTATTTCGAAATTTAAGAAATAGTTTGCAAAGGTAAAGAAGAGAAACAAGGGTTAGAATTTTCTGACACTTTGCATGATTAAAAGAGTCATGATTGAAACAAATTGATGAAAGAATACGGATGTCACGGTGCTATTTTTGAATAAGTGAGTTTTTACCATTGAATTATAGGTACTTCAAGGAGCAGATATTTAAAATTCAAGCATAGGAATATTTTTATTTTATTTCAAATTATTTTTGTTCCATAATGGTCAGACATCATAAAAAGTTTAAAACAATTACATCAACACTATGCTATGTTATACTTCATTATTATGCTTTAATGTGTAAACATATTGTTACTTCTTCAAAACTTTTGTCATTCCTCGTAAGCAACTGTAGAATAAAATATGTCGCATAGAATTTCAGTAAAACTTACACAATGATAGGAAATAAAGTGACAAACTCAAATTTAAATAAAATGGTGTTGTTTACCACAGTGTTTAGTAATCTACCTTTAAAAATGACCTAAAAGAGATAAAAACTCCATTTAGGGACATATAACTTAAGAAATAGGAAGGTAACATCCATTTTGTCCATAATTTTGTGTCAATCACGATTTCATTAAATTCTGCAGTTTAAGAAAATCCTCACTGTTAAGCTACATTTTTGCCATTTTTAAAACATTTATTAAATTTTCTATTAGGGGCCTGATACCTTAAAACATAACTTTCATAAATTTGAAATATTTGATGAAGGCGCGCTACGTATTGAGCTTTACATGTCTGAGCATAAATTTATCACTTAAATGAAAACGTGGTGTATTATTTCAGTTCTGTATAAGGATCGTTGCATACGGTGTTTTCGTTTGCTAAACTATCTAAATACTCGTTTTCATTAAAACATAAAGTAACATTTGTCTTTAAAAGTACTTTATTAAAATTTTAAAATATTATAAACAATAAAAATTCATAATGTAAATATAACAAAAACAATATCATATGAAAGATGAAATTGGTCAATATCACAATTATGTTATGTAGCCATTTCCAGTCATTTAAACAGAAATTCATTCTACATTTTTAGTAGTAATATTAAATTTTCTTCCCTTTTCCTAGTTTGATATATTTTAGCAAATGTCATTTTATACTGTTTTAAAAATAGAAAGCATTTGAAGTACAAAATTTTAAACAAACGATAATATAAATAAATAGGTAAAGTATTATGATTTAAAATATGCTATAAGATAAAATATCCAAAACAGTGTTCGTTTCTCTCTCATTTTAGACATCATAATTACAAAATACATAACATATGGTATTAACAAACATTCTATACATACTTTTTTAATTTGACTAGTATGGTGTATAAGTAATGGCTGTTCTGTACACAAGTTTTGAACACATGTTATCAGCTGGCTAAGCAAAACTCACTAACAAAATAAATACGAAATGGAAGTATCACAGTTTTTTGTTAAATAAAATGCAGTACATATTTATTGAGCAAAAACTTTTCGCTGAATTTGAGATCTACAAATAGCACAAGTGTCGAGTCTGGTCGAACAATCATCACACGATACAAAATGGCCACATGGTATGAACACAATACTGGCTTGAGAATCCAAACATACTTTGCAGACAAAAATGTCCCTGAGTTTTCGGTTTTCTTCCCTGAGTTCCGCCTCTTCTTCAATGAAAGTAAATAGTAGGGGAAAATAATTGCGTATACAGTTTATACTTAAAAGAAAGTACTTCACAGTTTGATAGTTCTAAAGTTATTTCCGTTGATTTAGCTAGCAAAGTTTTTAAAGACATCATACTGGTTTCTCTTTCTTACAATTATAAGAAATTGTAATGAGCAACTTATCTATCAAGGAACTAGAAATACCCTCACTTTTTATATTGCTACATAAAATTAAAAAAAAAAATTAAGTTAAGAAAATCAACATTATACTTGATGAATACACTTTCAAGCATGAAAGGACCAAGAATTATTTCACAAATTAATTATGTTCAATAAATGTACTCGTATTAAATGATTTATCAGGAAGCTTTAGGAGTTCAGCAAAAGCTCGCCACATTTTTTTTCTACAAAAATATTCGTAGAACAAGAAATCATTCATTCGGCCTTAAACAAAGCCAAGATAGTAAATATTAACTACAAGGCATAGAAAGTGAAAATGAGAAGCAATATACAAATTCAGGAACACGACATAGAGTAAACGGTTTTATGCCCAGATGTATCAACGTCATGCAATGTTTAACAGAATATTACCTCTCTCTATCCTCTTAAGTTCATCGGTTGCAAGTCTTCGTGTTTCCTCTGGCAATTGAAAATTCGAACCCCGTAATACCAGATTCGGATTCGGAAGGACGTCTGCAAAAACGGAAAGAAAACAATGGTATATTATTGTATGATATTCTGGAACGATAAATATTCTCATGAATTAGTTACATTATAATACCTTACAAGGCAATATGCAAATTTTGGTATAAGTTTAAGGGTTATATTTAGTTCCAACATGCATATAAAATCTAAGTCGGTAGACTCGTCATTCAAAAAAATAGAGCAAACGTTCATCAAAATAATAAAATCGAAATAGTAAATAAAAGTACTTAATTGTACTTTACCATTTAATAATCTGGATGATATGGAAGCACAAAGGTGACATGCTAGCTTTTTTCTATTAAATATCATCTCGTGGTCACGAATTTACTTATGGCTTTTTCTTTTCTCTGTGTACATTTGTGCTTGATTTTATTTCTCGTGGTCACGAGTTAGACTAGTTTTTTTTATCTCGTGGTCACGGGCGAGTTTCTCGTTAATTTATAACGTGGCTTCGAGATATTTCTGATATTTGTCATTATTTCGTGGCCGCGAGTTAAGTAGTTTTTTATTATCATTATCTCGTGGCCGCGAGTTAAATGGGTTTTTTTATTATTATTATCTCGTGGCCACGATTAAACATTTGTTGTTTGCATTTGTTAATTTTAATTTTCCGCATGTCACCTCTGCCCTTCTGTATCATCCAGATCATGATGATGAATGGATGTCCCTCGTTTGGGTGTCTTTTATTATCGGTGTTAAGTTGTTTCCTGTGGTAGATATGCACTCTTGTCATCCGACAAATAGTGCTATTCCGAATCCATATACTATTTTAAGGTGTGTCGCCGCGAATCATTGTACAAACGACGCTTCCCGTCCGCTGTTGTCGTACACTCATTCACGTCCGTACAATATATAAATAAAAAATAACATAATCAATTAATAACAAAATTCATAATAAAGTTGTGAGTGAACATTATTGATCCGCTCTATTGATCTAATTGAATTTATAATCACATAAGTTCAGTGAACAGTTTTGATATTTTATCTCATAAATATTAATAAATAAATAAATTCTTAAAACATGGTGATATAGTGCCTTCAGCCCGTATATCATTTTCTGGTTCCCATCATTGACGGAGTATATTTTCCGCTATGAGCATAGCTTTAAATGTATATTACTGATGGGAAGGAATATTCAAGGGTAAAATTATTTAACCTAAATTGATTTCTGAAAAGTAAGGTATGTTTACATAATTACCATACTTTTTGTCCTCCCCCTGTCCAAACACGGAAGCCAGGATAGTGTTGGCTTTATCACTAATAAGTTTACGTACCATCCAATCATCTGGAATGTTTTCTTTCGTCATCAACTCTAATTGCTTTATGAAGTTCAAAGCATGTAAACATATTGATGTAAACAGTTTTGCAAGTTTTTAAGAAGGTGACAACATAATTTTGTCTTTGTCTTTACTTTAATTCACTATTTCTTTTCAGACAACTCAACTCAACTATTTATTTCATAATTAAAGGCCACCGGCCCAGAATATTATATCAAACAATAAAACAACATTTATAAATGGTTATGTCAATATAATAGCAGCATTTATGACTTTAAATACATTCCATAAGATAATTGATATACATGTATGTAGATAATTTAAGATATTTTATGTACTTTAAAATCATTTACGTTGGAAAACAAAAGACTGCTGTTAGTAGTTGAAAAATATTTTTCCTTATTTAATTATAAATTATTTATCGAAGTTTGAAAAAGTACTGTAGTAATCGAAACTTGATTCTTATTCTTTCAGTCAAATACAATTCTTACGTATTTTGCAAGGAGATTATGGCTGAGAATGAATCTCTGCAATCACGGAGGTGTCGTTTAAGGATGCCCATATTCTTAATTAAAAGTGAATATATTACCTTACTGATGTTTATACTTTTAGTATTATCCGCTGTATGACAAACATTTACAAAATTTTCTCCTTTGCAAAGTTTCACATATTTGCAGTTTGGAAACCATCTCGCATGCTCGACCCATGGAACATCCTCGTTTTGCCAATCTTTCAGACTTCCACCACAGAAAAAACATATTACAAGATCGCCTTTTCCTGGAAACAAATCGTTAAAAATAAATGAATGACTAAAATACATTTGAATTAATTCTGCTAAAACCGGTGCTTTGGATCGTGGACGGTAGGTTGCATTGCGTCCATGAAAACGCTGAATCAAACCAACCCTGCAACTTTTTCAATTTTGCCCTTCCGAACTTTTTAGCGATTCTGTTTTTTTTTTAAATTATTTTATGGTCAGATCAGTGTTTTTGTGTCCTGTGGCGGTCGTACAAAGTGGGCCCATACATATAAAACATGATGATACATGTAGTTTAGCACGACATAATTGTTGTATCGATGTTTGGGGTACTTTAAGTGCTCCTTTTTGATCTTTTGAAGTTGGGTGGATCCAGAATTACAACTTGAATTCTGTACAATCTCCCTAAGTATATGATGCCAGCTTTAAATTTGTTTTACGTCCTATCTGTGATATGCATGCTTCATAACCTCTATTGCCATTTTAAATTTCCATTTTATTTAGTTCGGTCCATTGTTTTCTCGTTCAGGACACGCACATACTTTAATTTGGGAACCATACTCCGCTTTCCATGGAATGGCACAAATGTGTCACATTGAAGGATCTATGAACACATCAACGGATGTGTTCATTTTCATGTTCTGCATAAGTCCTTGCTAGGCGGCGTGGACAGTAGCTTGTATTTTCAGGTATCGTTCACGAACAGGCTCTCAATAAAAAACAAGCCTGCAACATCTCCAATTTTGCCGTTTTAGCCGTGCATTCTTTAGTGATTCTGTTACTCTTTTCTACTGAATTAAAACTAAAGTGTTCGGTGCAAAGGTACTTACCTGAGAAGAAAAGTCCCGCTTTTGATAAGGTTTCTGGATTTGATATCTTCCCTGAAGACCACGAAGAAAACGATTTTAACCGGGCACACAACAAAGCATAATCCGGAAATTTTGGCTTACATTCTCTTATTCCTGGGTAATATTCGATTGTAGTTTGAGTTGAAAGAGTTTCCATATTTTTAAACTTCGCTATATTAGTTTACATTGAAAGTTATTCTTCAATTGTCATTCACTCGATAGTCATACATCTGTATTCCAATGAATTATATTTAGAACACCAACTAGGTATTCCAATTAAATATATTTATATTACAAAAAAACTATAAATAGATTTTCTATATTTAGTACATTTGGGTTTTTCCATCACTAACAATAGTACATAAAAGACAATAACTTTGCGGGATTATATTTTCTTCATTTTATATTAAAACCCCTTTAATTATGAATAGACTGTTTAAAGCTTGTTAAATCCATTACCAAGTTCAGAAGGTTAAGAGTCAGATTTCAAGTGTTCTCAAATAAATCGACATAGCTATATAAACGTATATATACAACCAATCTCTGCTATTTTCATAAGCCATTAAAACTGTTCTTCTGTTCTACACATAACACTAATTTTCATATGGTTTTCTATATGGTTATCTATCATTTAAGAACATTAAATCCACAATGTACAGATCGCATTCCTTTTATATCGAACAGATGTCTGTCTCTATTGATGACCGGTAAAAACGCATCTTTACTAAAAGCAGTTCGGTTGATAAAAGATATACTATGCTCATTATTGAGTAAAATATTTCAATCAAAGAAATATATCAAAATATATGAAATTCTTACTGAACATGTCTAATTTGAATAAAATAATAAATAAACTATGTATGAGAAGCTGTGTTTCCTATATTACAGGTCAAGTAAAGTTGGTCTTTACGCCAGTGTTTTTTTATGATATTGTGACCACCAATTGTGTGTAACATATATCCTTAAATTTGTGCGAAGTATTTATATTTACAAACATACTGCATAGCATTTATCAATATTTTCAAATTCAAATTTGAGCATAGTATATCTTCAAATAAATGACAAAGGTCGTTGGCAGGTGATCAAGGGCAGTCTCAGTAGAATAAGCAAAACGACCAAAATTCTTGATTGGGTGGACAAATTTATATGTACCTCGATAGAAAAAGATAATGGATAAATTGAATAATGCGTGAACAAAACTTAAAATAATTAAACATGAAGACTGTCAGAACAATAATAATTGGTGTCAAACATTTTGAGACTTATCGGTGAAAAGATGGCCCATTTGTTATCTATCTTTATTCGTGTATATATATTATTGAAGTATTTCCACTGCACCGCACGTTGTTAAAGATTTTGATATAGAAAATATTGGTTATTTTAAAGAAAATAAAAGACCAGCTTCGCTTGGACAGTAATAGGAAAGGCAGCTTCCCATAGATAGTTTTGTTTATGTTTTTATTCAAATAAGCCATATTCAGTAAAAATTTCATAGATTTCTATACATTTCTGTGATTAAAATATTTTGCTCAATGATGAGATGAGCATAGTATATCTTTAAGCTCTGATCCGTTAACTGAATTTTTAATGGAGTTCAAGCCTAATTTGCAATAACTATTTTTTACAATCTGATGGGACTTGACTGTAGAATCAATCCACAAAAAGTTGAAATAAGGTAACTCAACCATTAGTTACCATCTTCAATATAGGAGGAATCAGTCTTTGTGATTCTGGTATGATGACTCTTACATATAAGAGGCTAATCTTTGTCAATAAACACTTGAGCAACCTTCAAATAGAGAGAGATATTTTTTTACATATATAGTGGTGCAGATTTTTCTGGAGAGATTCTAAGTCTAAGAGAAAGAAACTTATTGTTTTCGGTGTTATAATGTCATCACCTTTAATAGTGGAATAAAGTAACACACTGACAATTTAAGAAGTTATCATAGATTAGAAACGAGATATGATATACACCAATAAATCTAGACTGAACAATTGGAGATTATGAACACGAACACTATCAAGGAAAAGTTCCGTTCACAGAACGCAGCCTCAAATAACTTCCAGCAAAACAGGACCACAGAACAGAAACCGAAAATGGACGGGAAGGGTGGAGAAATAAGGCATCAAAAACAGTAAAAAAACAAACATGCACTAGCCATGAATAATACAATTAAACATTGATGGGAGGTAAAAGCGAAGAAGGTAATTAAGGATAATTAAAGAGTAAAGGAATTTGATCCAATAATAAAAGGGAGAAAAACCGAATCGGCGATACACATTATATATTAGATTTTGAACAACACATTCATAAAGGATCTCGGAAGGAAGCGCCCTTAAAAAGTCAAAAGCGGTCGGAAACACTATTGCGGAGTTTAAAACGGTTTAATGTCCACCAAGCCACCAAGCCTCTCTTACCACAATACTCATATGTTTATTCAAGATGAGTCAATATAAATAACATGATCCCTCGTGGAACAAATAATTTCACAGATAATTCAGCTTATACCGGGCATAACTCTATCAATAGTAGGTTTTTTACTGCTAAAAACGAAATAGACCTGTGGTTTGATATAACATACTTATATGCCAAACATAGCACAGTCATTGAAGTCCTTTAAATGCCATGCTGTCAACGCTATAGATAATATGATAAGTCCCGAAGTTGTTTAGGGTGTACAAAAAGGGAAACATATTTTCCATATTTATAGGGGTTAAAACTTAGAATGCTGTTCTGCCTAAAATACTTGAATCATAGCTTCATTAATTATTAATACCGTTAATAATTTTAGCAGAAGTTTGTTAACAACATATCCATAGAAAACAGGTTTGATAACAGCTCGTATTAGCAGGTCAAAGCACTATTAGATTCAGATAATTAAAATTTGAATTGGTGAAAAATACACTTCCGTCATTTATGATAGCTGGTGGTAGCTGTGTTGGAAAATTTGTCAGGTGCACTTGGCTACCTGATTAATTTTGAAATATACATCCCATAATTATGCCCTTAAACCCTTATTACTTTGTTTAATTAACCATATGCAGGATTTTATCTTACCACTAGAATCAACGGCAGTATATTATTTTAACAATAGTAGCAGATTTAAAAAAACAAAGTTTATTCTAATAAACATACTGTAAGAAAAGAAATTACTTATATGAGTGTTACAGGCGTTGCAATTTTTACCTAGGGGCGTTTTGTCATTTTCCGGAGTTTTTTTTTGTGAATGAGCTTTCATCAATTTAATAAATCGAGATAAAAACCAAGAAACAAAGCCTATTTGACCGTGATTATTTTTATACATATGTATTTATCTGATCTTCACTGTAAACGCGGAGTCATTAATTCTTAAATCATATCAAACGTTATAAATATTATTGGTTTCCCACTTTTTATACTCATTTAACTTAGTTATAACTTAAGTTATACGATTATACTATCGGTGCTATAATTAGTAATGTACGCTAAGCACCGATTTGTTTATACCGTGTACGCAACACTATTGCATAAATCTAAAAATGTATGTTTTTTATAAATATAAATTAACACGTCAGTATCACATAGAATCCCAGAAATGAAAAAGAGGATTGACAACCACAATTCAGACAATTCAATCGTATTGTGGCTTAAGCGCAATTACATATGCTCTTAATTGATGACTTTAGAATGAGGACTAACGGTAAAGGTCGGTTATCAATTTTTATGTATTCCTTGCTCGGTTTATATACATAATCATATGATTTTTTTTATATTTTTTCTTTATTTTTTATTTTAAATAACAAGTATGTTCAAATGTCCTAATTTGAAAAATGTGATGATTTGTAAAAATGTTAGTTTTGAGGTAAGTTACTCAATATATTATGTTTTACTTGTTATATAAATGAAATTAATCAAACGAAAACAACTCATAGTGAGCACAAAGAAAATTTCGTTATTAAATAGCTAGAAGAAGTGATATTAAAACAACTTGAAATGAATACAAATTTGTAAATGTTTTTCTCATTTCAGTGCTTGTTTTGGTCTTTATACTTGTGACAATGCGTATTGTTTTGGGAGCAGCTAGTTTTGATTGTTACGGTGACATATGCAACAGGTAAATCAAGTTAAATGTTATTCGTTAAATATAAACTTCAAACACCTCAGTTTAATTCATTGAAATATAATTCATAGTTGTCGCTAAACATTGATTATGGCTTTGTTATAAAATATAATGTTGTACAAATTTTACATTTCACATAAACCCTTCCACATCACACACGTGAATAGTTATATATTGTCATAAATTGTCATATGAAGCAGTAAAAATACACAAAGAAAATCTATCATTTGAAAGTGATATTTCAATAGCAAAAATAGTGGATTGTATTGTTTGCATTTTTATTTAGTTGTTGCTACTGTTGTTTTTCAGAGGAGCCAACAGCCAGTTTTGTTCGAAAATGTTCAAACTATGTCGGGACTGTGAAACCGTAAAGATGAGCTGTGGAACAGAAGATCAACCAGAAGAATGCTACGATTATTGCTTGGGTAAGCAGGAACAATCCCTCAATTATGTTATTCTTAATACAAAACTCTGGAATGAGGAGATACCTATGATATAAAAAAGCAAAGCAGTTGAAATCACCGACTTGGTTTTATTAAGTATGTTGATGAGAGATAACGGGTAATGTAATATATCTCATGCCCCAAGACCTTGCTTTATTCAACACACGAAAATATTGGAATACAAACCAACTTAACGAAATCAAGTATAACCGTCGTAGATTAAACATTTGAAAGAATTTTGAAAAAACTGAATGTTAAAAAATGTCTACATTTAAAATAAAGGCCAATTCAAAATTTTTATAGAACAAAAGTAATATAAGATTATTATCACTGTGCAAATGTTAACATCTATATATCTTTTTCTCTATCTATTGTTTCAGAATATAAGGTAAAGCTTGCTGTAGAAAAAGAAAAAGGTAAGTTTAATGAATGAAATGATATTAAAATCTTTATTTATATATCACATCGTTTAACATGTGTTGAAGTTTGAAGACATTCCGAATATTAAAATAATAGCAAATTACCACTCTCTTTAATATACAGTAGAACCGGCCTTTATGGTTAAAGTCTTTACAAAAAAATTCAACCCTCCTTGTCATTTAACCTCGTTAATATAAGTATTATATTAGGAGAGTGACTAAAATTAAATAAACTATTGCTAGATGCAACCCCTGAATGTTGACTGACCAGATTTATCTAAGATGGCACTGAAAATTGAAGATTTATAGATGGAATACATTCCGAAGACAGAACTACCTTAAAGTCAATGTCCTGCTTAGGGTTCCCAAAATTATTTTGAAATTCAAGAATTGAGGTGGAATCTTTTATTTGCTTTTCTTAAACCTTGATGAACATATGCGAGGGATTATGAATGGTGAATGAATTGCACATTATTTTGCAGCATCTAATTGCTCCGGTTTCAATCAATCCCTTCGAGGTGTTGTAAGTTTTAACCAGACAGGGTATCAACAAGGCGACAACATCACTATCAATTGTGGTATTGGAATGGAGCCTCAGTATACAAATACAGTCGAATGTGGAAAGTATGGTTTGTATCAGATACCATACCCAAGGTGTGAAGGTAATTCTCATTTTTATCCTCATTGCATTATTATAAAAATATAAACAATACTATAGATTGTTTTGAAAAGAAAAAAATCAAGACAACAAAAAATTTTATGACATTTTTAAAAAGAATTACATCTTTTATTTCAAGATTACATCCGGCAAGGGTACGTATTTTGTATGCCGCTTTAACGTTTTTGAATAGACTTGCTTTTTTGTTTCAGTTTTGTAAATGTTTTTGTTCTGTAAGTTCAAGTTTTGAGATATAGGTATAGTTTAATTGATTTAACGATTGGAAGTGGTGCTATACTTATTAATGTTATACTTACATAATCTTCTCCCTTCATGTACTCTTTACGTTAATAACAATATAGTTTATGTTATTACTCTTTATATGACAAAATGACAATGCATATTTTCTTGGAATGCGTTTATATACATCTTTATAACATATACGAATATAACCTGCATATTCATGACACACTTTTGTTTTCGACTTACTTTCTTATATTGCCTTAGTGTGTATGTGATGTTAACTAACTATAGATTAACAAACTTTTCTTATTATTTTGATGTCTCTCCTATTGTTATGTATAAAAGTAAACTTTTATTGGTTATAATCATGTGATCAATTTCAAATTATTCTAACATGCCTCATGTTTTCATTTGATTGCTTTATTTTATATCACCAAAAGTTGTTTTCGTTTTAAAAATCCTATAAAATTATTTTAGATGTGCATCCTTGATATCAAATTTTTAACAAACCAAATGAATTATTTTAGATAATACTAGCAATTTTGATGAAATTTAGTAAAAAATTGAAAAATAAAACTATGAAATATAGTTAGAAATTCTAAACTAAAACTATGAAATTTAGTTAGAAACTGAAAAATAAAACTATAAAATTTAGTTCGAAATTGAAAAGTAACACTATAAAATTTAGTTAGAAATTGAAAAAATAAACTATGAAATTTAGTTAGAAATTGAAAAATAAAACTAATAAATAATTGATTTACAGTCCAGACATGCGTTTTATCTCCGATTGTTGCGAATGCTAAGTTCACCCCAGATCTTGACAGGAAAGGCCGAGTTGTCTTCAACACCACTGTTACTGTCGACTGTAAAGATGGTTTTACTCTAGTTGGTTCTAACACTATGACTTGTCTGGCTGACCAAATGTGGAATGTAGAAGCACCGTTTTGTATTCCTGATACATACATCTGTAAGCTCATCTTTGTCTGTTATAACAATAAGTATATTTGTCATTAAAACAATGATGTTATTGTTAATTGTTGTTACATACTACATAGAGAAATAAATACAAAGGAAAGAACAAGAAAAAATGCAATGCATCCCGAAGCAGGAATACTTCAGTTAATCTTCTATAAAATTCCCAAGTTATTAGAACAACATTCTATTTTTCTTTCTTTTTTCTATTTATTTTCTGCTTGTTAATTGAGTTGATTGATTATAATAACTGGTTTCTACGACGAGGGATGTGCTCTCTGGCCCTCTGGACGCAAGCAAAACTATACATTTATGATACAAAATTACTAGTCCTCTGCATGAAAATAAAGTTCGCATAAACTAAACTAATATTTTTATATCGGTTAATCTACTAATTCACGTAATAGAAATGCGAAAAAGCTTTACATGCATGCATAGTTAGATGTTGTCGCAGTTATTATCTTTTTCTTTTCAGGGTGGCGAACATTGGCATTTGGGCTGATAGCTGTCTCCGCAACGTTCTTTATCGTCATCATTATACTAATTGCTTTATTTGTGTGGCTACACAACCGGGAAACACGCTCAATTAAAACCAGCAAGCATTCCACCCAGCGTAAGCCGTCAGTTTCAGAGAGTGGTATATCAAGTTATCATGATCATGATGAAGGGGAAACTTGCAAAATGATTGTAGACGCTAAAGCAGGACAGCAAACACCAGAGAGCAACATAAGTCGTAATTCTTTCACTGATAGTGAAAGTTGCAAATCCGATCAGACCACGGCAGCGCTTGAAGAAAGAAAGCTTAGGAGTAGTGCTAGCAACGTTGACATCACTAATATAAGTAAGATACTGACACTATTTATTTTGTTGCATTTCTGCCCTTTTCTTTTTTAGATAGCATATGTTATATGAATTTCAACAAACTATATTTCAATACTATATTTCAGTACTTTCTTTGTAAACGGTGTTTTGCTTATTTTTATATTTAAGATAACACGTACAACTTATATGGTAATACTAGTATAACACATCATACCGATCCCAGTAACGATACGTCTCCAAACAATAACTTCAAACTTGATATCCATCCTGAAGACGAAAATACAAAGGAACAAGTTCCTGTAAGCTTGGTAACAGAAGAATCTCAGATAACCATTGAAGCGTCTCAGGAAACACAACAAGGGAAGTCAAGCAAAGGAGCTATCCCATTTATGAATGACAATGACACAGATATAGCTCTTGACAGTGTTCCCTTAATACTGAAGAAATCGTTGGTTGATTTGATTGGACACGCGAAGGATAACAGTTGACTTTGTAGTCTTTGGAGACAGTTAAACATTTTAGCAGATAATTATGATCTTTGATCTTTTTATATAAATAGAAAGTTTGCATAATATTAACGTTTGATCTGAAGGTTTAGCTCATATATACTTATTCATTTAAGCTCGATTGCGGAACAAATTCTTGCAACTGATATCACTTTCGAATCCGCTTACTGGAACTAACCAATATTGGTGTCATAAGGAAACATGATCGTGACCCGAATAGGGCTCAAACCCATGATCCTTGCGTTGAGAGGTAGATATATTAACCACTTTCCCACCGCGTAGATCAGTTACGTACCGTTGCATACATGTCGCCGGAAAATGGATACGTTAGAGAAAATTTGAATGAAATGTTATATAGCATAATAGGTTTTATTTTTTTGTGTGTGTTCTCCCTTGTATGTTTGTAATGTATAAATTAAAACCCTTGAATGATATATGATATAGTTAAGCCAGAGTAAAATGTTTCGAATTTAAATTTTCTGTCAGCACGCTAACCTAATACTTCCAACTGGGTGATGTTCTCAAACAAAAGTTTTAAATTTTGTTTCCACACCATTGATAATGTATATTGTTGTATAATACAAAGCCAAAAAATAATTCTTAAAGTTTTTGTGACAGCCATTCCAACAGAATTATGAAGCATGCAAATTAAAAAAATCAATCGAGGTGTTGTTATCAAGCAAATAGTTGAAAATTGCATTCTCGTTGAAGTATGGCCATGTTTCCATCGCCGCCATTACCGCAACAGTTGAAACCCCCTCGATCTTGTTTATTCTTTGCATGATTGGCAATTCTCTACCGACTGAAGCGTATTAGTAAGTCATGAGCACTAAAAGTAGTGGAGTCATTAATTTCGAAGAGCACAGCAAATTTGACAATAATGAAATGAAGTAGGAGGCCAACTTTCTTTTACCTTTGCAACACAACACTTAATGCTGCGAGTACTATTCTAAAAAAAAAACAGACAATTAAACAAGCAAAAAGCAAAGAGTTGAAATTGGAGACTCGAGATCAATGAATGACAAATAAGATACAAAATATTGAATTAAAGTATAGGGCAACATCACAAATATCTGGAAAAAGTGATCCCTCTGAAGCATTAAAACAGCAAAATTACATGGAAATTGCAGACTCAGTTTGATTCGGTATGAAAAAGTGCATCATCCTCACAACCCCTAGCACCGGCTTGAGCGGTTCTCAATTTTCAACACTATATTTGCTTTAACATTTAAAATCTAATTTATAAAATCAATTTCTACTTTGCAAATCTTAATATCTTATTATAAATTTACATAACGATTTTGCTTTTTGTTTTAAATGACATTTTTCTTGAGGCAAAAATGCATTTTCAAAATGAGATATATAGTGCACGCGCACGCGCACGCACGCGCGCACGCGCGCACACACACACACACAAAAGGATCAATACCCTCTACTTAGTTTGCAGTATCTTAAGTTCATCTTTGTTATCTTTGTTATCTTTTATGCGAATATTTTAGTAGAAAAAGAAGTCGTATTTCACCATTTCATTTTTTATAAGACACGCAAAATATTCATAATTTGTCAACATAAGCACAACTCTAATGATTGCATACACCACACATAATCGAATGCAGTATCTTATTAACATAATAATGTAAGCTAAGTCAAAAACTGTTCAAATAACAAATTTTATTGATAAAAAGTTTAATTCCACAACTTCTTTATTCAACCCTGAAAAGCACTTAATTTGCTATATTTAACAGTTAAAAGTTCCACAAAATGCTCTTGTCACTAGTTTTCACGACTGTCAGGATTTAAAGCCAAAATGCAAACTGAACACAGCCTGTCATGGCTACTTATATAGACTCTGAAATAGCCAGGACTGTCACAATTGACCAATCATAACATTCCATTTGGCCTGGCAGTTTGACAGGAAAGACAGGATTTTTTAAAATGGCAGCCATATTGACAGGAATAATTTAGAAAATGTAAATTAATAAAGTTAACAAATAACAAAATATGCAATAAACACTTGAATTACATGCCTAACTTAATGCACTTAAAATCTGGACCAAAAAACAATCATGGTTATAGCTTAGAAAAATGAACAATTGATATAAAAAGATTCCAAGTGCGAGGAATTTGAATTTTCCCTCCTGACAAACTTAGAGGTCATACCGGTCACCAAGATTATTATAAAATACAGCAATGCCAGCTAACTATTTGGAAAGTAAGTAACTTATGTCTTAGGTAAATATGGATTACATTCTATGTTCTTACATGTCAAATGATAAGTATTTGTATATGTTTATGAAAATAAATGCATTTAAAGTTTTGAATCAAGGTAGACAACTTTTTATCGGCCATTTTGATGCCAGGATAAACAAAGCAATCAATTAATCATTTCTTGAAGTATAAACTTTCTTGGTGTGCCTTATATAGTCCTAGAGCCTCAGAATGTCCTTTATCATGGTCTTAATTCCTTCATTTACCAGAAAATTATCTAAACAAATAAAATCAGCAAATATGAATGGCTGAGGCAAGTTCAGGAATCCTGACAGGTAATGTTCAGGAATCCTGGCAGGTAAGTTTTAAGCATTGAATGAAAAGTATTACCTCATTTGTCAATAAATTATGCTAGTTTGATGTTCATATTGTCATAAGACATTATTTGTTTTAAACTGATATATCCATTACAAGGTCCTAAAAGTAATTTAGTTGATAAATATTCACAGTCCCTTACAATAATAATTTTAAGTTTTATTAATCTAATGGGCCAAAACTCTTCATGATAATTAACTTTTAAAAATATCCTGGTACTCTTTCCTTCGTTATAAGCGAGTTAAAATTATCGGGGGTTTTGAAGGGACTTCCCTGATTCTATATTTAGTATTTAGTACACTAGACGACAAAGGGTTGTTTGTGTGAGATTTGCACGTACACACAATTCGTTGGCCTTGACATATATTAACGTCTCATGGGGATGAAATAAACACTTAGGAAATAAGAACCTTGCATGCATGTTTAGCTCAGATAAAATTAGAGTTATGTTAAACATAATGCCTTATGGCGTTAAGATTCGCTTGAAGATAAATTTTAATTTTTGCTTTACATAATGGACATCAATAGCGGAAGAATAAACGGTGAGTTTCATTTGATTAAGATTTACTGTTACTTTAAGTTTCATTCTTAATATAAAATTGATAATATATTTATAAATGTATAGTGATGTTATAGATTTTAAAGCCTGTGTGATAAGGATTTTTAGTGTCAGTTCAAGTTTATTCAACATTTTAATATCAGGATGATTTCCAACAGTAAATCTATTAATTCATTAATAAACAAAAAGTTTAAACCGGAAAGGCGGCGGGAGATGTGGTAATTATCCTTTTTCCGTTCATACGTAATTAGATAAGTATTTTCAATAGAACATGAATGACTATAGGTTAAATACTGAATTTATTGAACGAATTGAATAACATTGTATTATGCGAGCAACTGGCGAGCATATATTATTTTATCGGACGAGTTCAATAAATTATGAATTGAACTTACACGAATATGATATTTTTTTTATGACATGCCAAAAATAAAAACTGTTTAAAGTGAAATAGAAACATTTTTCATTGGCACGTCTATATTATAACCCTAAAATTTAGTGCGTCTCAACACTATGTTTGTATAACGTCAAAATATAAGCGGCGGCATGACCGAGTGGTTAACGCGCCGGACTAGTAATGTCATGATTGCTAGCCGCATGGGTTCAAACCCCGTCAGGGGCAAGTCGTTGCTAACTTCACACTCATTGCTCAGTAATGGTTGGTTCCAGGAACGGTGTCTATAAGCTTATAGCTTTCTACACAGTCGAACTAAAATAAATTCTTTATAAACCAAAATATATGCACAGCTGTGCGATACCGTTTTTTACGGATTCGCAAAATAGAATTAATTATATTGATAAAATATTAATATAAACCTTCGAAGATATTATATCTCTTAAAGGAAAAGTGCAATACACAGGAATGACAACTTTACAAACATATTTTATAATTCATAATATAATATTTCTTGCCCTTTGTTATTTTTCAATCTTTCTCGAAAAAGTGGGATATCATTTTTGAAATTGCCTTGCTAGATATATCTCATTGAGGAAGTGTACAATGCAGAAAAGTCATTTATTATTTAAGTAATTTCTCTTTGTTATTTTCATGCCAGTTTTTTTCTTCTCAAGAGCATAACTCGACAAGAATATGAGATATCAACTTGAAACTTCATTCATTGTTTATCCCATTAGGGGAGGAGTGCAATGCACACTCATTATAAATCTATCTTTTATAATGTTTTAGTTAGTGCACTTCGTTATTTTCCATGCTTTTTGTTCAGAATATAACTCGAACTTTTTTGGAATTTTGAATATTTTAGAACCTGAAATCTTAGAGGTGGATACATCTCATTGAGGAGCAGTGCAGTGTACGGATACAATAATAACCCGTGCACTGTTACTTCATTCTTTTTTTTGCCTATGTTTCTTTACGTGCATATTCTTGTCCAGACGATAACCCAAATGGAAACTTCATTGAAGTATGCATCACAGTAAGACGGAATGCAGTTGCCTTATATTTTGAGTTATTTCCCTTTGATATTTTTCGCTGCATGAGCATATTGCAAAAACGACTGTTGAAAAGTTGCTTCCTGCTATGAAACTATAAAAAATGCTTCAATAGTGATCAAACTCGGCACAAATGTTGACTGGACCATAGCTATTGTAACAGCATGTACAATCTTAAATTTCCTGTAACAACGGCAACGGGGTGTCTCAAAATTGCCAAAAATCACCATTTTGCATTGCTTTTTCCGATAAAGTGCTGCAACTTCTCAATGGATTGAGATAAGGTTAAGGGCTTTTCAGGGTTAGTTATATGCTATCTTAAGATCTATTTTCTAGCCCCTCACAAGTCCACAATTTTCTTGACGATGAGAGGGGGCTACCGTCCCCTTCAAACTCCCTCAAACAGAAGGGGGCATATCAACCCTCTGGAACCCCCTTGCCGTACCTTTTTGAAAGGCGGCCTACAGAAATAGTTATCATTTTTGAACAACTTCTCTCAAACGGAAAATATTGTTTGGGCCTACATAGGGCAATGTGTCACTATTTGAGGCCTCAAACTCAAACTCTATATAATTATAACAATAGAGTGCTATCTTAAAACCGCTAAAGGGATATGTCACAGCTCAGCGCTCTTCTATGCTAACACTAATGACTTTGTTATCTGAAGTATTTTCGGTTGTCTCAGATTACTCATTGTTAAGTCAGGCGATCAATGCTGTTTGCAATTACATATTAGTCAAGTTGTTTTTTTTCTTTCAGTTTTGATTTTATCAGTATTTGTGTGCATTCATAACCCTAATTTTGTAATTTAAAACTAACTTTTAAACATTTTACGACATTTTTTAAGCGTACCTAATATAAAAAGTTTGAACATATGAACATTTCGATCATATTCAATAAGCAAATAATTCATATAACTAAAAAACGTATGATGATTCTGTTTTCATATTCTAAATTCATGCATGTAAAAAAAATAAAAGTATGTAAAACAATCATTATTCTGCGTAAATGTCTATATGAAAATGGCAGCAAATGTCTGTTACGACCGTCTAATGTAATCGACCTTTGCGGAGATTTGGTTATAGTCATGGTGTCGTTACCGGTGCCGTTTTACAGATGTCCTTACCAGCGCCTTTGAACTTGTCTTCTCGTTGCTGTCAGAAAAAAAGTGCATTTCTCATTTTAGCTCGCCTGTTTCGAGCAATATTTTCGAGTACTTACGATTGCTGAGTCATCGTCATGATTGTCGGCCTGTAAAGCCTTTAATTTTATCCCATTAGTCAAACAATTTTAAAAGTATCAATATGAAAATTGAAAAACTTGCTGTCCATGACAAGACATATAAGTTTGACAAGGTACATCATTCTAAAAGCAATGATTTAAAGTTCTGTCCCTTTGAACAATAAATTATGAAACGCACGAGCGCTAAAATTGAACTCCGTGCTTTTGTTTTTCATTTCGTGTCTTCATATTAAGACCTTCGGTCAAGATTTTTAAGTAGACTAGGATGACCTTGACTTACTTACTTAGCTTGATTTTGAAAAACAACTTACAATACAACTTTGTTATTTGTGGGTGTATTGTCCTCATGAATGCTGAAATAAAACTGCCCTAATTACCACAGTTTAAAGTCTTTTATGAAATACTATTTGTTTTCCCTCCTGCTATCTAGGCCTACCAAAATTTGTTCCTGCCAATGAAAACCATAGAAGCAGAGCTGTCAATTTGAGTTATACCTTTATATTGAATAATTCGAATATGACGCCGACCTTCAAAGTTACCTGTATCTTAAATGTCAAGCTATTGTTTTGCTTAAATTGTACATCCTTTTCTATTTATATACGGATTTGATTCATACTTTGACAAAACTTTAAATGTGACTGAACCGACATGTTCAATATTTAAAGTTTGACCTTGATTTGTGGCTGCCAATGTTACATAGATAAACAATAATGATAATAAAGATATTTTCTGAAATCTTCGTCTGAAGTGTTTGCTTTAGGAAATCAGAGATAGTCGAGCTAGCGTCCGTAGTTTATTTGACTTTATCATATAACTGCATGTATATCATCTTAAAGTTATCTTAAATATTTCTAAGTTTTTGCTTTAATAAAAGTAGTTAAAAATCCTGCATGTTGTAATTAAGGATGTAAAACACATAAGTGAAATTTTATATATGTATATAATTATTCTTCTAAAACCATTTCCAAAGATCCAAGAATATGTTAAATATATACTGCAAATGTTTATACGCATTATAAGTGATCATTAAAGTATAAGTGATCATTAAAGTATATGCATACAGTATTCATTTCTTATTAGACTTTATCAAAAATAAATTTCTAATTACCTTCCTTTATTTACACGAAATGTAAAAAAAAATGTACAAATAATGCTTTCTTTGGAACTTAACATTTTGATAAACTTTTCATTTTAGCATTATATTTATGATATAAAACCATAACAATTTGAATAACAGGATCTTTAAGCCTTACTCTATTTATAATTTATATGATCTGAAGAAAGATACATGTTATCGGCAGAGATGCAGTTTAAAAACATTTTGTTTTAATTCTATCATGTCAAAGGTTTGACGTACATATTTAATATATTCAGAAAAAAAATACGAAAATTACATTGAATCAAAATTTATTGAAAATAAAAGTCATTCCGATACAATCCTTGTCATTGGGGCGTTCCTTTCTTATCGTGTGGTAGTTCACATGAAAAGGAACAAAAATCATAAAGTTATTGGCATTGTTAAAAAGGCTGAAAACAAAATTAATATGTTTATAAATGAAAACGGTTAGTATTTATAATGTAAATCAAATGTTATTATCATAAATAAACCCCTTTTATTTTGTATACTCGTAGTAAACATATCATTTTATTTTTAATAATAAGATGTTTCCTAAAAATGTACAAATTCGTTGTTGTTGTTTTCAGGCAGTCCTCTATATCAGCCATTGTGAGATATATTATGTAAACACATAATCAGATAGCTTTCAATATTATTTACCATGGCAAGTTCTAGTGAGAAGCTAAAGGATAAAGATTTCCAAAACTGGCTTAAAGTCGCCCTTGGGGTCAATATTGCAAGGAAGGGAATTGAGCCATATGTATCCAGTGTTATAGAAAAATTCCACTCTGACGCTTTAAAGGATATTTTATCAGTTGAAGAAATAGACAAAGATACTTTGAGAAATGTTTCCAAGCAATGTCGTAGTAACATTTGTAATCAATTGAAAATAAAAATTAGGCTTAGTCATTTATATAGGAACCCATCCTGGAAAAACACTAAGGATGAAAATTGGTGCCTTTGTCCCTGGGAGATAGCGAAGTGTTACATGCCCCCTGATGGTTATAAGTTGGTAAATTCTGCATCAGAAACGGACATGAATGGGATTCTTAGTGTCATGATGAACCATATGGAATTCGATATCACTAACAGAAACATATGTGAAGAGGTATTTTAATAATATATAAACAAAACTTTTAACTGCACATTTATAGATACATGTAGTTAAAGACTAAATTGTACAGAGTTCTATTCTTTTCTTCTCATTTGGAAATCAATTTCTCTTTATCAATTTACCTAGAATTTTATCGATTGAACATTTTAATTAAATTGCTTTTATCTCTTAAACGTTATTTTTTTATATATCAATATAATCTGTATCTTTGGAATATAATTGAGCCATTTGTTTATTTGTTTGTTTATTTGTTTTTACGGCGATCCAACACAATTAAGGTCATATGAGCGGAAACAGGAAAGATGAATTTGGCTTACCTCGAGTGTAGCAAACTTATGATTTACCAAAACCAGGGCAAAAACCACTTCACATGCTGGAAGCTTAAAGATGCATAAACTCCAATAATTTAAACCTACCGTCATACAGGGATAAACGGTGGCTGCAATTATGATGTATCAGCCACGAAAGGCAACACCTCGGGGTTCGATCATTCAAATTAATTCAATGTTATATAATATGGGCTATTATTACAGTGGTATCAATTTCCGATGTATATAGTGTGTCTTATTTTACAGGCAAGAGAAGTTACAAGAATGGTTAGACACTCGTCAGATCTATCTATGAGGGATCAGATGGTAAACGACTACCTCGGTAATCTTATCACCTTTCTTGAAACATACAAAGAAAAACATCAGTCGACTGCCGAGGCTCTGGAAAACCTCAAAAAGGTGAATGATATATGAATTTATTATCGAAAAATAATTTTGTAAACAACAAGTTATAGACTATTCAAGTTCGTTTATTACTATTTGTTTAAAATACTTACCCCTATTGAAAAATGCTATGGCAATATAATCAAAAATAAAACACAGTTATTTCTGATTTGTTAAAATTATTTGTTTGTTTTCTGCAATAAAAAGCAGTATTATTTCATTCAGCTGAAGGAGGAAAAACTACAAATTTCAACTGATGACATACTAGAGGTTCTTAAAGCCAATGTTGTAGAAGAAATCAAGCGGGAGAGAAATGAGTGCCTTCAAAACATTATCAAAGAAATACACCTACTTCATTCAGTAAAGAGTGAAAGTTTAGACAAAGTCCTTAACGCAAAGCTTAAAGAAGTGTTAATCAGCATAGACGAAGCCAAAGCTTCTACCCTAGATGAGATCAGGCGAAGATCAGACAGTTTTAAGGAATCACCATACATATCAAACTATGAAACACTCAAGCACGGTAACCCTTTGTATTGTATTGCTGTTCTGAGTACAATCCTGAAATCTATTTGACGAGTGCACAGCTGTAAAATAATACTGGACGAGGCGCTAGCCGAATCTGATATAGGTTTTGCAACTGTGTACGACTCTAGTAAATTAAGTATTGCTCTTTAATACCCTCTTTATATTACACCATTTTAGACATTTTGACAGAACTTTATTACTTTAACTACAGTAAGGATGTTTGGAGTTTCAAAAATGAAAAAGAGGCTTGATGGGGTAGTATAAACATTAGGTAAAGATATTGATATTTTGGACACTTAAAATAAAAACAAGGCTGTATGGGGTGCTAAATTGATTTGATATGAGAATTAAAAAAACAAGCTATATTTAATGGGATTTGGATTAGATATGGACTTTTTGGACTGTAGAAATGAAAACGAGGCTTAATTAATTAGATTGAGTCCAATAATTATTTATATTGGAACATCACGTTGTGCGAATGCGGAAAGTGCAACGGTTACATTTTTAAGGTGTGATATACACAAATCTAGAAACAAAGTGATCCCTCGGAAGCATTAATCACAACAAAATTACATACGAATTGCCGACTCGGTTTGATTGAGTCTGTACAGAAGGGATAATGAATAAGTGCAACATCCCTCACGCCCCCTAGCACCGACTTGAGCGGTACTCAATTCTCAACACTTAATAGTGCTGGTGTCACCAGAAAAATATAAAAACACTGAAGTGAAGTACGGGACAACTTTTCATAGCTATCTTTACACACATAGTGTCTTGAACACTTGACACAAAAGATCCTTGCTAAAAGTAATAAAAGTCCAAATATATTTTCAGTCTTTGTTTCTCAAAAAGAAATCGTCAAATTTATTTTTATGTGATAAAATAAGATCAAAAGTATATAAGCAATCATTCTCGTCCACAGAAACGATGCAACTACTCAACCTTTATGAATATATATCTAAAGCTGAAACATGGTTTATATAAATTTGTTAATTAAACTAACATACTTAATATTTGAAAGACATCGTCTACGCCCAGCAAATTACATATTAATAACCTTTCTTTCAGAGTTGAAAGAAGATATCCTGGTATTCAACAAGGCACATTATAGTACTATTCCACTTTCTCCTTTGTTTGAAAAAGAGGACACACCATTCAAAAAAATGTATGTCTCGCCAGAGATGAAGATAGTAGATTACCCACTACGAGAAAGTCTTCGAGCAGACATTAAAACAAACGTCACCTGCTTGAGTGACATTTTTAAAAATAAAATAGATAATATTTATGTTACTTCAAAAGCTGGACTAGGAAAGACGGTATTTTGCAAACGGTTATCAATTGCATGGTGTCATGCTCACAATAGAAAAACACAGAAAGACAGTTTTGAAACGGAAGAAGATCTTAATTTATTACAAACATTTGATTACGCTTTCCTCGTCCTATTACGGGAAGCACGTGCTACCGATTGCGACATCGACACAATGATTTTCGATCAGATAGTAAGTCATCTGGGACGTTCGGGGCGCTATACATTAGATTTTCTTCAAGATATACTGACAAAGGAACGCTGCTTAATAATACTGGATGGACTGGACGAATGGACTCATCCAAAACAAAAGGAACGTAAGACGCAAAATGATATTCCAGACAGAAATGCTAGAGAACATTGCACAATCCTGACAACAACAAGAACCTGGAAATTCTGTTTGCTATCATTAAGCATTAACGAAATCGACAGACTTGTGCAAATAACTGGACTCGATGATAATGCGTCCAAACAATTAGTATATAACACAGTCTCAAATTTCACCTCTGATAATGTCAACCATAAAAACATCAAAGAGTTCCAGAACGAATTGCAAAAGGAAAGTTTGGCCAGATTGAAATATGTGCCTTTGATCTTGATACACTTGATTTGTCTATGGTATAAAAACAATACGATCGGGAACACACTTTGCGAAATATTCTGCAACATAATTGGACTTCATCTGCAAAGAACTAAAAACAAGTTATATTTAGACGAATGTTCCGGTCCGAAAACGAGAAAGGTAATCTTACCTGAATGTATTTCTAAGAACGCTCACTGTAAGTCATCCCAGGAGTTGCTAATGTCGCTAGCCAAGTTGGCCTTTTACACATATTTTGATCAAAACAGGGAAAAATCTTTGGTATTTGATGTTAATATGGCAAAGCAGTATCTACATCAGGACTTTGTCTTCTGCATGGCAACCGGTTTATTAACTCAGACTAAAAAGACTCAAACGAAAAGCGTTATTTTATTTGAGAGAAAAGCACCTCGTATTTCGTTTGCGCATAAAACATTTCAAGAGTATTTTGCTGCATTGTACATGTACATTGATGATGGTGTGGAAATGAATGTAAGAACTGTGATAAATATCTGCAGTGCTGTCGACGATATACTTGCAGTTACCAACTTCTTCATATTTCTGAGTGGTATGTGTCCTGACAAAGCAAAGTTGCTGTTTCCGGCATTTTGTCGAATAATAAGAAATTCGGAAACAATAAAAAACTACAGGAGTGACATGGGCTCATGGAACTATTTTGTTGGTTTCAACGAGACTATTAAAAGACTTCAAACATTATTCGTTAATTGCATGATTGAAAGCAGAGACAACGGACACAGTCCGGAAATTGTAAATTTTGAAGACTTAATTATTGATTCTGACTTTCGATCAGAAGACTATTCGACTATTTTGAAACTCATTATGAAACATAACACAAGAAATTTCAAGTCGGTCAAATTAAGAGAGGTAAGGACACAAAATGACTTTAAAGAAATTGTACAAGTGCTCAGAACAAATGATAGGCTAAGTCTTGAAAAACTTGATTTGAAATGTGAAATAAGCGATGAGAGCCTTGAGTTAGTCTTAAAAGATTCTGAACATTCTCTGAAGTGTTTTATATTGAAAGGTGGACAGTGGTTGGACGACAGTTGGTTACATAACAATGTAAGTCTATCAGACGAGAATTTGAAGTGTATTTGGAGCATGAACCAGCTTGAAGAACTGTACCTCAGAACAATCGAAATGACGCATGGTCAACTTGAGAACCTTTTAGCATTTGTGTCCGAAAGTTACAACATGAAACACATTGGACTTGGCTTTATAAAGTGTAAGGAACACAACGAAAGCTGTAATGACCTAGAACTCAACTTAGCTAACCATTCAAAACTACGAATGCTCGAAATAGGCAGTGTACCATTATCAAAAATAGGAGTGAACACACAGATGCTAGAAGTATGTTACGTAGGCAGCTTCACAAACAGTAGCGTGTTGTTTGAAATATTATCCCTCCTCTCGCATGCACCAAAACTTCACGTGTTTTGTTGTGGCTTTCTGGAATTCCAAGATCATATTAAGAAGATGCTAGAAACAATAGGACAGTTGAAGATGCTGCAACATAGTTGGCTGTTAGACATGAAAATCGGCAAAAACGAATTCCGATTATGCAATGACATGGAAGAAATTAAAGAGCTGTTTTTAATAAAAATTCAAATGAGCTCCGAAACCTTTCACAAATTGGTTGAAGCTGTTAAGGCGATCAAGAAGACCGTAATAGTCGGGCTATTTGATTGTACAGTCGATCCTCATGAAGATTTTGAATCGGAAAAACAAAGAATTAAATCAACACATGCGATACATGTTATACAGGATGAGATGAAGGATAAGCAGCAGACAGATTTTATATTCAAAACACTAGTTGACTGATCAACCGTAAAATCATAGAAAAACATATAAAAACCTCTTGCAAATTAAAATGATATACATTGTATACCATTGAGGCAATTTAAGTTTAGAAGAAATCACACGATCTTTTTAGAAAAAGAAGATATACATAGAACTACCATTAGATATATTTTCTGATTTGCATTATGAGTCAAAAAAGTATATAATCGAAAATAGAAATCTCAAAATAATAATAAAATAAATAAATAAATAAATGGAACAATACATAAATAAATCAACAAAAACTCTCATGACAGATATAGATTGTTTAATAAGGCAAGATTTACATCATGTTTTCCATGTACGAGTTACAAACATATATTAATTACCATTAAGAAGTATTTTTTTACGTTACGTGCGTGAATACTAATATGTTGGTATTTTATATGTATAATTATATATAGATTTCATATTACACCAATAAACTAATTAATTGTTGGGTATGTAAATTTGAACTATGGCTGTTGATAGAATATGATATTTATGAACACTATAATATAAACTTAATGCCATGCAGAACGTTTTCAAAATGTGCCGGAATATCTATGTATCCTTGATTAGAAGAATTTTAGCAGTGTGATATCGCTATCGAAACATTAAGATAGTTCTATCTAATCAGCTGTGCTTAAATACTGGTGTTGAGATTTAAATAAAATGTACTTAGAATTTCTATTGTATTGTTTTATGTTTTGTAAGTTAAAAGAGCTCAAATATTTAACAGTAGTTTATGAATGAGGTAATATTACTTTTTTATATTTTTTATAACAAAACAAAAACAAGTAAGTTTGTCTTATTTTCGTATTGGGTTTTACATTGTTCCAACACAGAAGAGTACAATTGGCGACTTTTAAGCTTTACGAGTGGGAATCTTAGTAGAACTACCGAGGTTTCATAAGCTAGCTAGATTGCTTTCTCCCATGAAAGAATTCCAAATCCCTAGCGGAATTTGAACATACAAAAATACCATGCATGTTCAGGGAGATGTGTGCACCTCATTTAACCGGCATGATACTTTCGGAAATAGTTGTTACATAAAATACACATTATTTTGACCTGTTATACAGGGTTTGTTTATCTGATCTATGATGATCTAACAAGCTCTCTTAAGCCATTATTTAAATGTTATGATTCCTATGTTTGACCTCTCTTCTATTCGTTTCTGAGAAAGAGTGTGCCTTTAAATCCTGTTTAAAAAACTGTCGATATATGAATAAAATACATAAAGAAATTAGTTTCGTTTAAAGGCGTATTTTTGAGCCTGAAAATTACAGTTCTGTGAATGTGTATCCGTTATGATCAATGTGACCAACAAGGACCAACAACGTAACCCTCTACAAAATCGAGTCAAACGGATCAACATAAAAACACAAAGTAGGGCGCCGAACAATAATCAGGAGAGGGCACACATTGTGATGCATTCAATGGGTAATCAATTAACAACAAAATAAGTTGTCTAATTAATTGTTAAAGCTTACTCTCGTTTTTCAATGTATATTTGCTATATATTGCTCTCTTTGAATCTGATGTTCCGGACATCGGTGCAGTTACGTTCTTATATGCGGTCTAAAAATTCTAAAATTTGCCTTTAAGCGATTAAGAAATTTTTCAAACAATTGAAATGATACTCGTATATTAATGCATTTTACATGATAACTTACGTACTCAATATAACACTTAATACAATGCTTATAAAACAACATATAAAATTTATGAAATACGTACTATACAATTAGCATATTCACATTAATTTACCCAGAAAGAAAAACCAACCAATCTGTGTAATTCATGTATAATCATCCGCAATATATAACAAATGCGTGCTCTTTACAATTTGATTCTTAGCTTGTTTTCTTTGACGTTTCAACGAATTAGTCATGTATTTTCATATCCATTAATTGAAATGTCAGTTTTTACAGTGTTAAGTAATGAATATCAATGTTAATCATTAATATAATCATTTTCAATGGCTTTCCCTAATGTATTTTATTAGTTTTAATCAGTTATCTTGATAAGGAGGGAAAAAGTTCATATTCTATTTGTTATGGTCCCGATGATATACATGTTATATTTTGCTTGTATACTTCGCTACAAACAGTTCGTATCACATATTTTAAGCTTTGTTAATTGTAACAAAAATCAATGTTTGTGTTTGGTGCTGCAAAAACGGCTGCATGAATAGTGACATAGAACATCAGTTTGACTATTATTTTTTAACAACTACGTTCAAACCTTATTCATGTCCATGTATAATTTACGAACCTATATTTACTAACTATCTTTAATATCTCATTATAAGCAGGACGTATCCACAATTGTGCTTAACATATATCATCAATTCATAATATTATAAAATAACAGATTGAAATGCCCTACTTTAGTAAAGATGTAATAAACCAAGCATTAAGCTTAGAAATTAAAACACGTTTCTAAATATGTAGACATGTAGACAATGCCGTTGATAACGGTGTAGAAATATGGTGATAAACAGAAAGTTATTAATCTGAAGGCGTGTAGTTTTATTCATTGTCAAATCGGAATAGTTCGACGAGTATTCATTATCATTACGAGTTAGTACGTATTGGAAAAAGTTCAACCACGTGTTTCCAGATGTGAACAAAAATTAACAAACAAAAAAACAAACAAACAAAAACAGAGGGTGTATTTTTTGTCATATTAAATAACAAATGTAATGATTGTTAAAAAAAATAAAGTCTATATCGGTAAAATTATGATTGAAAAATATGAAGAAATATAGAAATGCCCATCAATAAGAAATAAAACAAACTGTATACTTATGTACAAAATGAAAACTGAAATCACATTTATTTTGATGTTTGAAATATTTTATTCCTCCATTATCAGCAATTATTCTTATTTCGTTTACATCAAAGTATTAACCCACGAATGTTTGTTTAATTTGTTATTAGCTATGCATATGTCAAAGTTAGCCTTTATAAAGCTAAATTGTGAAAATTTATTTCCGTTTTATTTTCAATGAGTGTACACATATTTAAACGAAACTGATATCAGATATATAAAATTGAATATCATATCAGTTGGAGAGTCGAAACTTAGAAATAAATAAAAATGTATATATTGTATTTTGTCTGCATTTTTCATTTTTTGTGTGCTTTTGTTTATACGACGGGTAAGATTTATTATTTCTTATAATCATTTATGTTTCTTTAATGCATTTTACAGACACGTTTTAAGGTGATTAATTATAACACAATAAGAATAGTTTATATAAAACTAAAGTAGGAATTCCGATATATTATGATCAATTATTATCAGTTTATTGTACTTCATCCAATGAGAGTTCATCAGTTGAATATTTTATTCACGTACTAGATGAGGCTAAAATAAACTGCAGATGGTTCAAATATCCATGGGATATCCCCTTTATGTCGTTTAATCAATGGTTTATTTCACTTATTTATTTTGATGTGATATATGTGAACTTTAACTAAAATGAATGGCTTTACACAGTCTGACAATATACTTAAGGACAATGAAAACGTACGCCTGCATTATATGCATTTTATTACATGAAAACAAAACACTAACGACTCCATTAGAAATATATCATAACTTTAATACAAAACGCAAACTTAACAACTGAAAATAGTTCAAAATATTTGAAATCAAAGGTACACCAGTAAATCGAAGAACCTTAGGTGAAAATATGACATCTGAATGTGACATGACTAACTGGTTAAAATGTTTAACAAACAAAAAGTGATATACAATGTTGATGTTACATTAAATTTTTTGTTTTTAGAAGGAACAGATTGTAAGAAGCAATGTCCATCAGGCGAGATTCCTGCCTTTTGCACACGAACAGGCTCTAACAGTGATGAATGTGTCAATGGTGTGTATTTTCGATATTTTTAAAGCAAAGTTTCCTTCAAAGTCACATAATATATATTGTTGACCTTTTTCAACTTCCTTTATAACTGTAGAAGCCCAAGGAGGCATTTGGAACCCGAGTCTGTAGTGTTGAAGGATTTGATAAGCCCGTGTGCCTTCTGCAAAAAGGTGAATTAAATGTGTTTTATGTTAAATACTTTTATTGCAGAAATTAATTGAAATCTGAGACATTCTTGCTGAATATATCTTATTTGAGTAAAAGATTACACAAATTATGTTTGGGAATCTTCAATCACTTTAACTGGTCCAGTTTATTTGGTCCTATAGTATGCATAGTTTAAAATGTAACATAATTTCTCTGAATATAAGAATTTGTTTTACGTCATTTTGTAAGTATTGTTGGCATAGCGTTGTGTAAATACTGTATTTGCACTTTAGTTATATTATTTGAATACCAACTGCTAGTTGATTTATGACGTGTTTAACAAATGAGCCGCGTCACGACAAAACCAACATAATGGGTTTGCGACCAGCATGGATCCAGACTAGCCTGCGCCTCCGCGCAGTCTGAATAGGATCCATGCTGTTCGCTTACCAACTCTATAACAAGTAGAGAAACTGATAGCGAACAGCATGGATCCTGATCAGACTGCGCGGATGCGCAGGCTGGTCTGATCCATGCTGGTCGCAAACGCATTACGTTGGTTTTGTCTTGACGCGGCTCGAACGTATTCCACTATGAATGCAGATAATAGACATGGAATGGAGCATGGTCACTGGGATGTAGACTATAAAGAAGGAAAGCGTTGTATTCTTAGGTGTGATCCTGATTTCGTACCAAGTGGATGTCACGTCCAACGCAAGTGGATAGATAAAATGCCAACATGTATTAAAGGTATATTATGAAGAGTAAGATCAATATTTTACACTTTCGGTATCGGACATTGTATTAGAATTGACATAATACAATACTTTTTCACTTAATCAATTAAAAGTTTTACAGAATTTCAAATTTTATAAGAACTAAAGCATGTTTAATTTCAGTCTAAAGAGTGTTTTACAGTTCGTGATGAAAGTGCAAAGACAAATATTTTCAGATGATTTGTATAGAAAAGCTAAGGATTGGGGAAAAACAGGATTGAAAGTAACTGCAATTGGTGGTGTTGCCGGAGCGGCCGTAGTTGCTGCAACCCCTGTAGTCATTGGCTTTATTGGTTTTACATCAAACGGTGTTGCTGCAGGTAAAATAGTTTAAACAAAACTTATACTACTTACATGCAAGATGATTTTATTTTATTTTTGTTTCCATAGTCCTAAAATAACTTTTCACGCAAGTCTCTACCAGCATTTCCCACATGCCACCATTTATATACGTACATTTTGCTTTTTAACTAAAAAACGAAGGAAAAACTTTTTATGGTATTTTCTTATTTTTATTTATATATCAACGAGGAAGCAGGAATAAAGAAATATTTGTTTATACATTGTTGTCAGTGAAAAAAGTCTTTTTTAAAGCAGTACTTTTCCCTCGGCTATATTTAAAATTTTGTTATATAGATAATTTTGTAATAAAGATAATTTTGTGATGACAGGCTCTATTGCCGCAGCGGTTCAATCATCATCAACGGCAGCAGGAAGTATATTTGCATGGGCTCAAAGTGTTGGAGCTGTTGGATACGTGGGTGGAACAGGCTCTGCTGTGATTGGAGGAGGAACGGGGACAGTTACCGGTGTTGCTTCTACTTATCTGATGTCGTCATTTACTGGATGTGAAGCAGAATGACTTTAAAACTTAATTAACTATAACAATCTAAAATATTACTTATCGATATGTGGTTTAAAAACATGAAATTAAAAGAAGATTTGATCTGTAATTTTTTTGATTCCAACATTGTTAAATCATTTGAACCGTTTGAGACTCTGTAAAAAATGCAAATTATTAATGATAACTGTTGATGGAGATAGATGGTTTATTTACATCAATCTTATCATGAAAATGATATTACCTGGGAACCACTTATTAATATTGCCATTATTCTTCGACACAAAAACAAGCTTCGATTTGCCAATTTTCTTCCCAAATCTATACAATATTTTTAAGTTTTTTTTTTCAATTCTTTCAAACAAAATATATTAATAAACAATTTATCATTGGCCATCTCATTGTTTATAATTAAACCCATGGTAGAAAGAATACAAACATTTGAGACTTTGACATTTTGCGGTAAGCAAACAGGTGTCTTTTATTGCATTTACAAAACATGGCAGTGCATTTTGAAGCATACACAAAAAAACTGTACAGATGTTAAAAACACCAAAATGCACGTTATTAACATGATATGATCCCGACCAGGAAAATCTAGAGAATCCTGTACCAGTACCTATTATACCTATATGACGTGTAAACAATACAATACTTAACCGTTATGAAGTATAGAATTATTTAAGATTAAATGTCCATTTCGTCGATATACACTCCCACTATAAACACTCTCCTTAAGAACGTCTTATGAAAGATGAATTGATATTGACAAAATTCAAGTAAAATAATCACTTTGGATTAAAATAAACATAAGATACATGCTTTAAAGTCTTAAAATCAACTTTCATGAGGATTTTAGAAAGAACTTTTATTCTTTATAACATCTATCAACAAATTTATTGTGTAAAAATGAATCTCATATAATTGGATTTTAGCAGAAGTATATATCTAAATATTCTTATATTACGTGGATCACTTTTTCGACACAGAAGCTCGTTTGCGAAGACGGCAGAAAAGAAAGTCATACCCAGCCAACCTGCGCGTTGACAACAATGATTCAGGATATATCATGTTTGTCGAGAAGTTTACGCGTAGGTTGGGTACAGTAGCTTTAACATGGCAGCATGATCCTTTAGATAACATAACATAAAGATAACCTAAAACTTGTTGTTAGATATGAAGAAACTGACAAAAAACTCACCGTCTATTTATACAGACATTGGGTGTATATGTATATAGTTAGCACTGCCGTGATCGCATTAAACTGTTGCCTTCTTTTTACGATTGTAGGGAGTGACAAATTGAAGCTTCATGTCAAATATCTTGGCTCTAAGCATTATCATGTCACAAAAGGAAACATAATACGTGTGTTTTCCTATTAAAGTCTTTATTACCTTACCTGCGTGACATGACCAAATTTTACTCAATGGCATGATAAATATAACTTCTGTAGAGGACAATATGTTGATGCTACTTGTTAAATATCGAAGCTCTTATTTTTATATCCTATACCTTCTGATGCATCATACTTGAACTCTTCGTTTAATTCTAAGAAGGCCGCCTTATGATCATTCCTGTGAAGTTAGGTCAAAATCCATTGAGTGGTATAGTAGTGGATATTTTTTGAGTAAGACTAGAAGAAGGATTGGAGCAACACACTAAATAATGTATTCCGGTATATATCGGACAAGGCGCTTGAATTATTTAATGCTAAAATATTGCCTTTTCACCCAACGGAATGAACTTTTAAAGATCTTATTCATCTTTTCGTCATCAACACCAATTTATGTATGATAATGAATGAAAAATGTAAGAATCGGCGATTTTTTTTTATTTTATTGTCTATTTATTGATCATGATTCCTGCAAGCGTCTAGAGGTACTGCTCTACTTCTGTATTAAGTTAAATCCGATGTTTTTAAAGAAATAGTGTATAACAACGGACGTAGAACGTCGGACGATGGCAGACTGCAATCACCACAAAAAATCATCGTTTTGCAATTTCTGCTCAAGTATGCTTAGAAGAAATATAGAAACAGGGAAATATAGGAATTTACTAGAAATTAAATATGCCAATGGTATCAGTTACTAGCCAATCTGACTGTGTTGTGTAGTATTTCAATATTCTTACTGTTAGCAGATTAGTTTAAATTTTTTGATTAACTTCATATGAGTACAATATTAAAATAAAAATTTAGCCGTTTAATCGAGTCAAATAACACAAGTTGAAAAAGAATGTTGAACTTTAATGTCGCATTCATTTAAAGATAATACTATACTGGCCAGGAATCACGTGTCGTTTTTAAAATGAATTACTATCAAAAGTAACAGTACAATTTAATCAGATAAATATCAATTTTTGGCTTTTAAATTAAAGTATTCCGATCCCTAGAGATAGCAATGGAAAAAAACAGTATTTATTACATAAACTTACGACGAGAACTACAAACATGCCCCGTTTACATTTTGTGTGCAAAATAATGATCTAAATATTTGCCGCTCGATAGCCGATATTCATTGTGGAATAAACAGTTGTGAAAGGAGGACTAGGAATATTAAATATATAAAAATGTATTTCTTTGAGCTAGTTCACATTTCTTTCTTGTTCGTGTTTATCTCTGTAGTACAAACATCTGGTATGTGATTTCTTTTACATTCTAGACGATATGTTATAATGATAAATAATACATGTATATAATATTATGCCTTTTTTGAAACCGTTTCAAGTAGGTCTGTATGTCTGTTTGTCTGTCAAATATCATTATTTTCATTAATCATTTTAAATCGTACACAAAAGGTCTTTATGACATTGAAGGGGGAAATCAAAACATGAAATAAAGCAAATACTAATGTTAAGTCTTATACTAATTTGTCATTGCATAAATAAATCAAATTAAATCTTTTTTTTCAATACATTTTTTTAAATTCAGAATTGTTTTTATTAAAATACTGTTTTATTCAAATTAAAAATTGGTTTATTGTAACTTTATTTACATGAAAGATATATGTTTATAAACAGGGAATACAACATACAATTATAAAACATTTTTCTTCTTAACATTAAAATATTCTATTTAAACTGACAATATGAATTCTACAAGTTTCTGTAACCCTTCTTTTGAGTAAGATATTAGCACCGTATCATCAGCAAAACGAAGTAAAAAGAAATGTATTTCGTCCACACTGAACGAGTCAATAAAGTCGTCATATAAATATTGATACATTTCATTTATAGAAAATAAAACAACATATGGGATAATGGTTCAAACTTAGTAAGAAAGCTGCATAATAATTGGAGAAAAAAAAACATCTTTACTAATATTACCACCTTTTGGCGCTTTTGATTTTATTTTTTTTTAATTTCCTTCAATAACATTTTGGGTTGAGTAGAAGCAAAAGTATGTAATTATTATCTTTGGTAAGCCTTAAAAGTAGTGCGTGCCTTGCGCTTAGCCAACCGATATTTACGACGCTTTTCTATGAGCAGGTGACCGTTACAATTCGTTCTATTGTTTTATAATGCTTATTTTTATAACGAAGCTCACGTCTTGTCGTTTCACATTCAGGACTTTGTGTATCAAGGACTCTTCAACGTGCGGTTATTGTTTGACCTAGACACATTTAAGACCTTCCAGAAACAATATAGGCTTTTTCATAAAGAATAGATAAAAAATATCTACAGTCGTATTAATATTAGTATCATCTATCATTTACGGCCATTCACAATTTATACTAGTAAGTCGTGGCGTTCACAAATATCTAATAACTTCTAAGAACAATTAACCATTTTATCCATAGCAAATCTAATATATATTGGGCATGACATTTATGACTAGGTTGTGTAGATATTTTTATCCCAAACTACTTCATTCATTATTCTATTTGATGATTTACATAGGATAAAACTATGCTTATTTGTTAAGTCAAATAATACAAGTAGTAACGAACGTGTATTCTTATTATACAACCATACTTATTACGAGTACATGGAAGGGAACTTATCAATTAACAAACTGAAGGGATTGTTTCTAGTGACCCTTTTGCTTTTTCAAATGAAAGGTCACTAAAGACAGTCTCCACGGTACTCCGTCCAATAAAATGAACAAGTAAAATGGTTTCCTTCGGGAAACATTTTTGGTGATTTAAAGATATTTCATTTACTATTTTCAACATTGTTATGGAGAAAAAGAAAAAAAAAAGAGAAAAAAAGAAAAATGATAAGACCGGAGAAGGTCGACAATAAAACAATTATTTCTTTTTGAGAAAATGATTAAATACCATTGTATGAATAATTTTATGCGAACAATAAAGTAAACATACAAGTTTACGCAGAAAATATCTCTATTTATTATGGCAGATGCCACTACGAATGTTTTATTTTAGTAGATTTTCACTATTAACAATTGATTGTTTGTAAAATTAAAAAAAAATATTGATAATTTTAAAACACATCATGCAAGTGTTTCCACCTTAAACGGTAAAATAATTATAGAAAATTAGAAATATCACGTAAAAGTGTTATGTTCCCAATTAGGTGCAATTCGGACTAATTCTCAAGAATTTCAAATGATTGTTTTTACATTTCGTTGACTCATCTATAACTTTCGCCACCATTAAAACTTGTATTTTACATTTCGTTGACATAAGCTATTTAGATTTATGTAGATATGGTACAAGAGTAAAAAAAATATAAATGAATACTATTTACAATCCTGGTGTCTGGATAATTAAAGAGAGTATCTATCTTTTTCATATATAGGGAAAATAACCCATTGATAAAGGCTTCAGGTAATACACAGTTATGAAATATATGGTAAAAATTGTACATAGATATGACGGTGGTAGAAATTCTATAAATCAGAAACAGAAGTCGGCGCTATTATTATCTAATTCGCCGCATAGTTTTCTATATTTCCTTACATACTCTCATACAGATCCTGGATCAAACTAACAAATATTCGATTGAAGTTTATAATCCTTTTAGTAGAAATATAATAGTTCTGCTTTTATACAAAACAAGTACAAGTTAATTTCAAATTTTACGTCCCAGTCACCGTAGAATATTCATAACTTTTTTTCATTTCATTCACTGGTTTTATTTCAATAGACTAAATTTATTTGACGCTAGCCTATTCAAATTACAAATGCTATTGAGAAACCTGTATTTAAAAGCCCCCACCGATAGTTTTCTCCATGGAGCTACATAGATTATGGATCAAATAACAACGTTTAAATACTCGTAAATAATTTGTAAATGGAAAGGTAATTGTTCCTTTTGTAATCATGGAAAATTCAACAATTGATACAACGACTCTTAGCAAGTTAAAATAACTAAATTATTTAATTTGGTAAGGAAGACATGGAAGATAATGTTCTTGAGTTGCACTAATCACTGTTTTTGGTTGTTTTTTTAAAGACAAATGTTATAAGCAATGCCCGAAAAACGAGATTCCTGACTTTTGCACACAGAGGAATGTGGAAGGAAGCGATAATTGCACAAAGGGTGTGTACTTTAACTACTTTTTAAGCGCATTTCCTTAAAGGCGTATATCTAATTTAACCATATCCGGTTGTTTCAATGAAAGAAAAAAGTTATTATCATTTATCTAATAGTGAGAAAAGAAATTAGTTTAATAGATGATGTAAAAATATATTGACGTCAGAATAATTAAGAACGACAATATTCATTTAACGCGAAAATATAAGCATTACACAATCTGTAACATGTTATGATTTAATTTAAAAAAGACAATATATAAGAAAAAATTGCAAAACTTTCTTATAATTTGTTCCCATAACTTACTTCAGTATTCATGTTCTGACGTTTTTTATATATACATGCTTCCAAATCCATTTTTAATTTATCGTTCGCAAAATATCTAGACCACTTTAACATTAACATGTTTGTCACAATATTTTCGCTCATTTGGAAAAAACAACAACAACAACAACAAAACTGACATATTTATGAATGCAGATGATCGAGATGGAATGGAGCATGGCCACTGGGATGTAGACTATAAAGAAGGAAAGCGTTGTATTCTAAGATGTGATACTGATTTCGTACCAAGTGGATGTCACGTCCAACGCAAGTGGATAGATAAAATGCCAACATGTATTAAAGGTATGTAAAGAGTAAAATAAGTAAAAATCAATATTTAACACTTTCGGTATCGGACATTGTATCAGAATAGACAAAATAAAATACTTTTTTCACTTTATCAATTAAAAGTTTTACAGAATTTGAAATTTTATAAGAACGAAAACATGCTCAATTTCAGTCTAAGGAGTGTATTACAGTTCGTGATGAAATTGCAAAGAAAAATATTTTCAGATGATTGGTCTAGAAAAGCTAAGGATTGGGGAAAAACGGGATTGAAAGTAACTGCAATAGTTGGGTCGTCCGTAGCTTTCGGAACCGCCGTTGTTGCTGCAACCCCTGTAGTCCTTGGTTTTATTGGGTTTACATCAAGCGGTGTTGTTGCAGGTAAAATGGTTTAAAGTCTACAAAATTTAACTTACTTAAATGCAAGATGATTATAATTTCTTTTTGTTTCTTTAGTCTTGTAATAATTGTTCACGCCAGTCACTACATGACACCTTCATACACATAAACTTTTTATAGCATCTATTTTATGTGTGAATTATTTAAAAACGAAAGAAAAACCGTATGGTCTTTTCTTATATTTATATATATTTCAACGAGGCGGCAAGAATATAGAAATATTTGTTTATACTTTTGTTGTTCCTTGTTTCCCCGTGATTGTAGTCAGTGAAAAGTTTCTATTACAAGCATTACTTTTCCCTCTGCTCACTATCTTATAAAAATAAGTTTGTAATGAAGGCTCTACTGCGGCAGCGGTTCAATCATCATCAACGGCAGCTGGAAGTATATTCGCATGGGCCCAAAGTGTTGGAGCTGTTGGATCCGTGGGTGGAACAGGCTCTGCTGTGATTGGAGGAGGAACCGGTGGTGCTTCTACTTTTCTGATGTCGGCATTTACTGGATGTGAAGCAGAATAACTCCAAAACTTAATAACTATAACAATCTTAAACATTACTTACGATATGTCGTTTAGAAACATGAAATTAAAAGAAGATTTGATCTATTATGTAAATGCTATAACATTTCATGATTCCAACATTTTATATCATTGAGACCGTTTGTAACTGATGATGGAGATTGAGTTTATTTAAGTTGATCTTAACATGAAAATGATTGTACCTGAGAACCACTTATTGAAACGGCCATTATTCTTCAACATGTTAACAAGTTTTTAACACACATTCAATTTGCCAATTTTCATCCCAAATCTATGTAATATTTTTATGTTTTCTTTCAATTCTTTCAGACAAAATATATTATTAAACAATTTATCATTTACCATCTCTTTGTCAAATCCATGGTAGAAAGAAAACAAACATTTGAAAAGAGTGGTAAACAAACAGGTTTCTTTTATTGCATTTACAACAACAAATATAAATCGATGGCAGTGAATTTTGAAGCATACATAAATCAAAGCACAGAAGGCGCTGAATTTGTTTGGGTCTCAGAATGTCGGAAAGGTGAAAGTTGTGAGATTATAAACCATTTTGTTTGGTTTGTATATTGTCACCAAATTCTGTTTCCAGTGTTATAACTATAGTAAATTGGCTATAAGACTATTTGCAATATTCAATTGAATGTTATTTAATTAAAAAAAAAAACACAAAAAAAAACAACAACAACAACAAAACACATGAGATACCTGAACTCCGGACCTCTCGCTTCAAAAGCGAGCGTGTTAACCCCTCGACCACGGGGAGTTATAAGATAACAGTCTGAAGAATACCATATTATCTTAATTAGAGTTTGTAACCCTTATTAGTTTCGATATATTTTGTTCACGGTACACCTGTTGTTTAACATTGAAGTAAGTAATCAAGGAGCTGAATATAAGCATGTATATCTATAAGAATAACACAATATTAGAAATCTTCGACCAATCGTGAACTATTTTTTCGTTACGAAAATTAATGCGCCTGTCCTTTGACAATCTTTACGCAGTGATCTCCCTTTTTTTCGGCGTTAATGTACATATGAAGGGAAGTAACCGCTTCGGGGAGTTTGGACAACTTCGGCATTTGCAAATAAAAACATCAGGGTCTGAAATTTCGCTACCATTATTTGTTTGGTCTAACGATCCAAACAAATAAAAACTATACAGATGTTAAAAACATCAAATGCACGTTATTAGCATGATATGATCCCGACCAGGAAAATCTAGAGACAGTTTTCACTGGAATCCTGTACCAGTGCCTTTACCTATATAGCATGTTAGAAGTAACAATACAATGTGTCTTTGCACTTAACAGTTATGAAGTATAGAATCATTTAATATTGTTTGTGTCATCGATATATTCCCACTAGAAACACTCTCCTGAAGAACGTCTTATGAAACCTAAATAAATATTGATAATGTTCACGTAAAATAATAACTTTTGATCAAAATAAACAAGATTATTAAAATATATGATTTTAATTCTTAAAATTTCCTTTCTGTAGGGTTTTAGAAAGAACTTCAATTCTTTATCAAATATATCAACGAATTTATTGTGTAAAAATGAATCTCATATATTTCGATTTTAAAAGAAGCACATATCTAAATATTCTTATATTACATGGATAACTTATTCGACACAGCAGCTCGTTTGCGAAGACGGCAGAAAAGAGAATCATACCAGCCAACCTGCGTGTTGACAACAAGGAGTTAGGAAATACCATTCTAGTCGAAACGATAACCTTTAAGTTTACGCGTAGGTTGGCTTGCTAAATTCTCGTAAAGTAAAGCTTTAACATGGCCAGCAGTTTGTAAGCAGAGTCTTTTAGATGTAGGCTTAAAAACTAAATATAAGTTTAACCTAAAAATTCGATTGTAGGCAGTGGCCTATTGCAGATTCATGCCAAGTAACTTGACAGTCTATGCATTATAATACCACAATAGGAAATATACATGTATCCTTTCTGTCAGAATGGTTTGACACAACGACATTAACAACTCGGCCAAGGAAGTTCTTTTTTAGTATTGTCTTCATATATTAATGAGTGAGTTTAATAGTGAAAATGAAACCGTTTAGTGTATCCATTTGTTTAAAAACAAACTAGGTCTATAGCCTTTGCTAAAAATTTGTATTTGAACCTAAAAATCCTAACTGTAAATCTCACTAAAATCATTCCCTTATTGACGCTCTACTACCTAGCTTAGTATGATTTTAATGAGATCGACTTAACGTGTAGAATGTGAATTATTTATTATGATAGATGAAAGATGTGAATCAGTTAACAACTCCATTAAAAACTGTAATGATCGGAATAAACAATCCATAATAACTATCTCCTATCTTAAAATATGGCACAATAAATAAGATGTGTCATTGTTAGTGATTCATAAACTTTACAAAACGGGAACAAGGTTAGATTGTTGAAAGATTTTGAAAATGAGTAAACCGGCGATAGTTTTGATGTTTATTTTGCCTGTTGTGTTGTTTATATTGAATATAAAGTTAAGAATTGACCATTATCGTGGAGAATATGATGTATTGTGTCGATAGACAAAAGGATTATGTAAAAATATTGGAAATGGAATAAAATACAATGTGATTTTGAGTGTAGGTGTGCGGAATTTTTAGAGCGAACATTTTTATGCCCCCGATGGGCGGTTTATAATTATCTCACTGCTCGTCCGTCCGTCCGTTTGTCCGGAAACATTGTCCGTGCTTCATCTCCATAACCCTTGGGGGGATTTCAGCGAAACTTCACGGGAGTGATCAGTACCATCCCTACTTGTGCATATCGCCGGCACAGTCCGCTTTGCTGCAAAAGTGGCCTCCAGAGCTATATATAGAAGAATTTTGTCCGGTTTTCACATGTCAAACCGCTGGCAGGATTTCAATGAAACTTCACAGGAGTGATCAGCACTATCCCTTGTTGTGCATATCGTCTATACGTTCCGCTCGGTTGCACAAAAAAGCCCACAGTTGTTTAATTGTCCGGTTTTCACAGGTCTTAGTGCTAGTTGAATTCAAATGAAACTTCGCAAAAGTGACCAGTACCATTCCTAGCTGTGCATATCGCCGACATGTTCCGCTCCACTGCACAAAATGGTCGTCAGACTATAATTGGAAAAATCTTGTCTTCTTTCAAAGGCCAAACAGTTGGTGGGATTTTGACCAAAATTCACAGGAGTGATCAGTACCATACATTGTTTTGGTAGACATATAATTTTTGTGATAAAAACCACTTCTAGCTCTCTTTGCACAGTTATGGTCCCTTAATGGTCTATTTTCAAGTAAAATAACCTTGTCCACGCTACATCTCCAAAACTGCTAGGGAATTCCACTGAAACTTCACAGGATTGTTTGTCACCATGCCTAGTTGTTCTCACTGTCTTTATTTTTCCTTAATTATTTTTGGCACAGTTATGGTCTCTTTATAGACATATTATAGTAATAAGCTTGTCCGCCTTTATGGTCAGTTTACAAGTAAAATAAGTTTGTCCACGTTTCATCTCCAACAGCTGTGAAAATTCACAGGATTATTGTCACCGAGCCTTGTTGTGCACAGTATCTTGATATTTCATCTCCAAAACCACATACGAAATTTCAGTGAAAATTTATAAAATTGTTTGCATGGTGTCACGATTTTCCAAGCCTAGTTGTGCATTGTGCCATGTTTTTGCACAGCGGTTGGCCCTTGATGATGATTTTAGTAAAATTTGTTTAGACTTTTTCTCCTACACTTCTAATGGAATTTCAAATTTAAGGAATGATATTTATCATAGACGGTCAGGCTCATATTCAATTGCATATCTCAGTAATTTTATGTCGGGCATCAGTCACTTTCCAGTGACAGTTCTTGTTATCTTGTGCATCATCATAGATGTTGAAATATGAACTTTTTACATATATGATAAGAATTTATGGTAAGATTGACAAATATATATTTATTTGGATTTTAAGACGTTTGGAGCAACACACATCAAGTGTCTGTGTAAAATTGCAGCTACATCTTACAGGTGAGGAAATTCGTAAGAAAACTGTGTTGTTTTGCATTTTGTTTGTTTTTATTTCTTGGTAAAAAGGTTATTTCAAAGTTTTTTGTGAAATATAATATATATTTTCATTTAACATGATAAAATGCCGTATACTTTATATTTAGTCCTAATGTATCTTATTTCACAAAGGATGTCGAAGTATTTAAAATTATTTATATTTATTCTGTAACAAATAATTTAACAGAGTTATTTGGAGTTTCATTTAACGATAAATTAACGACTAGTGCTGATTGTCATAAGATACAACAATGAGGCGGGATTTATTACAAATAAACTATCCAATCATGTTAAAGAAAATGTGTTTTACAGACATTTAATCATTGCTGTTGAAAAAGTTGACTCCATGAACTGACGTTGAACTTTCAGACATATTTATTAAATTTACCTAATCTAACCAATTTGTCCTGCCATACCTTTTTTATTTTGAAGATAAGGAAACTAATTATTGCCAATTAAAAGATGTTTGTGATAATCATAATGAACACAGCCCGCACTCATCCAACTCTGTAGCTGTAAATACCCTTATTTGTAATCACACAAGTTAATAATACATAAAATCAGGTAAAATATATTTACAATTATAGTTTTGGACAAGTAGCAGATTCTTCGGTCTGTAAAATTTTAATTATATAAATGTCTTGAAAACTTTTTTTAATTTCATTTAGATACTTAAAAATCATCTATATATGTTTAATTCTAGCTTGCTCTGTGTACATATTGAGGAAATCACGATGAAAATTAAGAAAATATATAATAAAAGCTGCGCAAAATCATTTGAGACTGCATTCTATATGTTGAAATTTATTTATTTATGTAAAAGTTATGATTAAAATCAGCGCTACCAACAAATGTATCGTATGGCATGTGAAATTGAAGATATTCAAAGATTAAAGTACGAACAATCTCACATAAAGAATAAAGAAGAAAAAGAACACTGTTACGTTTGATTTAAATTGGAAAAGTTATAAACATTCACATATATTTAAAGATAAATGTGAGTTTACTAAAAACATATAGAAGAAGACTTTAAGTGTATTTCTTTAAGCCTTGGATACAACTTCCGATTTGATACAAACTGCTCTTCCTTTAACTGTGTATAGTTGAGAAAAGTAGCGAAAATCTTTAGATTTTGTTTTTCTTTTGTTTAAGATGTTCAATTGAAAACTTTCATTTTTCAGTATATACTATGCAAATATTTTTATTGCAGAAATGAATTAAGTAAGAATTTCCTAAATTTCAATCTAAGAAATTCTTACTGAATACGTCTAATTTGAATAACAGATTGCAAAAA